CAATGGAACCTGACACTGATTCGTTTTCACGGCATGAAAAACAAAAGCGTCCACATGCTTGAGCACAAGATTGAGGTCGGACCGTGGAGAAGAGGATTATGTTGGAAGAATGGGGTTGTGAAATTTCTATGGACATTGTGAAGTATTATTATTACAATTCATTATAGCTGCTGTTCTCAATGAAGGCCGAAACAACCCATTTAAATTATCAACCAAATCGACAGGTGTAATTAATAATATATTATGGATAAAGTATCACTTCAAGCTTTAATGAACATAGTGGATATATTTCATTGCTGTGCTGGTAACCCCTACTGTTACCATGCCAACCAAGTCAGTCTTATGCAATGCCACTGAATGAACTTTACATTGTAAAGTGCTGTTCCGCTCAAAATTGAAATACAATAATTATATCAGTCAAAATTCCTTTCGGGGTTTCCATTTATAAATTCAGTTCTAGGGTGGATTTTCCCTCTCAATTAAAAAAAAACAAACAAAAAAAACAAACTCACCATCTTTCTGTAATGTAACCTTATTTTTCAAGTTCTGCAGTACTATAGACATTTCATTATTAATGACAGCTTTGTGTGACTCAACCCTGCTATTTTTTTTCACACATCATTAAGTTTATTATCAAGAGCTCTAGCATTTAACTGATATTAAACAGCAAAAAAGAAAATATCAGGATAAGTGCACATTTGAAACAATAGTACAAATCTTTTCTCAGACAAATAATGACATCATTATATACAGTATGCCACCCTCCCTTCTTTTTTCCATCATGTTTTTTTTTTTTTTGTTTTTTTGTTTTTTACAATACAAAGCAACTCCATACTGTTGATGCTCTATTGACAATATAGAGGTGACTTTCACTTGAGCTGTTTGTCGATGCACTGCAGAGAATGCTTACTGGGTAAAAATGGCTGCAGTGTGAACACCAAGTAAAAGCAAAAGTCCTAACAGATTAGTGATAGAGAAACTGACACCAATAATACGTTTGAAAAAGGAAAATTAACTTCTAAGAAAAAAAAAAAAGAAAAAAAAAGCCTGTTTCATGACTCATGTTTCAACTGTTTCTGGAGACATTTTCTAAAAGGTAAAAGTTTCCCATGTGTCACTGACTAAGCTGGTGGTTGTCAGAAGAAGTTACTCATCAGTGGGTACTCCACGACTCCAGACAGCCTTAGGTCAAGGAGAAAAATGAGACAACGTAACACTGATTAAAAAACTAATGTCTTCTTTTTTCTTTTTTCTTTTTTTAACGTGTTCAAAGCTACTGAATGTCTCCAAAATCCATAATAAAAGATGTGCATGCATCGCAAGACTAGGAAGGTTCACTGATCTCTGGTTTAGAAAAGACCTGGCTCAACCTCTGAAATCTTTTCAGTTCCTTTCATTACTTCAGTTACTTTCCAGGAAGGAAAAAGAGATAGGGAATTAAGTTACACTGGGTCACACTATTTTGCTTAAATTTTAAAAAAGGTGGTCTGCATGGAGAATGGCTGTCTTTGACTTTGAAACAGGGCCAAAGGTGCCAAAGTAGCCACTCAAGGTCATGAACTGGTCTACAAAAGTTACTGAATCCATTTCACAGATCAATTGAACCAGGTCATAAGCTACAGGCTTATGTTTGTTGACTGTACAAGGATACAACACCTTCAGTGTTTAAAAGGGACCAGGTGGTAAAAGACGGCAGTTTCCCTGGTGAACCAAAAATCACCTCTACAATGAACACTCGCCCTTTGAGTTTAGAGGAAGCTCAGAAATGCTCAGCTTTGCCAGTGATGACCCAGAGAAAATGAATTATGTCACTTCAGAAAACAGCGATCTTTACCCATCTGGTCGGTCTCAGTGTCTCCTCATCATCCCTGATTTACATGTCTAGGTTGTGATACTAGCCACAATTAAAGGCACATGTCACACAAAATATGGTAAGGTTTCTCTGAGCATTCACAGCTTTCTAACACGAAAGAATTTTTTTTTTTTTTTTTTTTTTTTCAAACGATGAAACAGTGTGTTACAAATAAATCTCATGGACTCTTTTTGAATGGAGCCCTGTATCTGTTTTATATCTGACTGGTTAAAAGTGGATTCAACCTATTGTAAGGTAATTTTACGCTAGGCTAATTAATAAGACTTAATGAAAGCAGTTTGTTAAAAGGATAGTTTGATATTTTGGGAAACTAACAAGAGTTAGATTAAGGATTGTCATGACTCTCGTGTCTGTCTATACAGTATCAAGCTAGAGATAGTAGGCAGTTAGCTTAGCAGGAAAACTGGAAGCTGCTAACCAAGAAGCCACTGCGCCACGCCAAGAAATAATTCCGGCACGAAAACCTCAAATCTTTGTTTTAACATTTTGTTTTTTGTACAAAATTAACAAACAGCATACATCATGTTCATTAGTGAGCTTTAAAGGTGCTAACTAGATTTTGTTAACTTTGGACAAAGGCAGGCTAGGTGTTTCCAGCCTTTAGCTAAGTTAAGCTAATCACCTGCTGGTTCTATCTTGCAGATGAGAGTGGTTTGAACCCTATCATCTAACTCTCAACAAGAAGGCGGTTATTGTTCAAAAAATGTCACATTTTTCCTTTAAGGGCACAACAAAGAGGGAAGCTAAATTTGCATTTCTAGATTATTCCTGAATGATTCTTAGGAACAACAGGATGAACAGATTTAACCTGTAAAGTACTCGATTCCACAACATAAGCACATAGCAACACCAAAGTGAAAAAGTACTGTGCTAGTCCCAGTCTACAGCCGGATACTTAATTTGTTAGTTACGAATTACAGTAATTTGATGTAATACTGTTATTTTTATGAAATGTCAATAAAACTAGGAATACACAGAGAAACCTTGAAAAACTTTTTTTTGTTTTGTTTTTTTGCTTTGCTTTTTGTTTTACAGTGACTTTCTCACATTTCAACAGTTTTTTCAAAAAAATATCCAAACAAATGTTATTATGAATCTCTTTTCCAATCGTAAATCCACAAATACTTTCTACACTAGCCCATCTACGTTACTGCAGTCAGTTTGAATTCAGGATACAATTTGGGTCAACTCAGAAAGTATATTATCAGTAAAGGCCTTCATGCCACCTAAATTGTATTTACTTTGATGATGATGATGATGATAATAATGCCACTAAGGATCTTTCCATGCAGAATATTTATGAAGTCAGTATCTCGCTGAGGTGTCAACCGAACAGCAGGCTGGAGCACTTCAAGGTAAGAGCTTGAAGTCAACACATGTTGTTTGTTTTGTCTCGTGTTCCTTTGATGTCTGAAAACCTGCACTGGTTAGAAAAGTCGCTTTCAGCTATTTGATGACACGATTGTCTAGTCCTCTTGCTGTTTATGTCTATGTCAGTGAGTCACAGAGCTCTGGCACGAGGCAGACAAGTAAAGAGCAAGATTAAAAGACTGGTCGTTGTCTGGGACAAAATGCTTTACCAGAATCTGTCTACGTCATCTTATACCATTTGGTCTCCCCAAAAGAATTCTAAGAAATGCATACAGAATGAAGCATCCATGTAAGAAACACCCATGTACACGATGTCCTAAACATAGAAGAAAGAACTAGTAGCGGTGTTACACTGGGTTTAAGCAGACAGTATAAAAACTTTTGATTAATTCAGCGTAGCCAGGTGTTTTTTAGAATGGGCCAAATTCCTAGAAATGGAGGAGCATAAATTCAAGGCACAAAGATTTTTTAAAAAGACTCATTATGAGCCACAGGAATGGCAGGAAAATGATGGGCCGCAGCTCCATGACTGTGATGAACTCGGAGGGGATTTAACCGGACTTATGGATGAAAACCTTGCTTCTATAAACCTGCTTTCATACTTGAGCTTAGAGTGGTGTCACTAAACTTTGACTTAGTCAGGTGACATACACAGTCCCACTATTTAAAAGCAGGAAGTGGAGGAATGCAATTTATCAGTAGCAAAAAAAGACCTGATTATTGTGGTTTCATAAAGATGACAAGCACATAATGATTAAACAGTGCAAAGGATTTGTTGTACCTGAAAGAAATTTGTTGGGATTTAGGTTAGAATTCAGACTCCCTCTTCAACTGTGCCATTTACAGCATGTAGCTAACAGAATAACAAAAAATCTGATTAATACAAAAATATTAAATTAAGAGAAATGGGCCAAGGATAAGTTGGAAAACCAGGAAGAATAAAACTTAAACCAAACTTTAATTTTTTTCAAGGGATAACTCATCAATAGCTTGTTTCCTCTGCAGTATTACTGACTGTGAAACTAAAAGTTTAATACAAAGGTTTTCATAAATTAAAGAAAAGCTCATGTGATCAGGTGATAAGTCCTACATTTAGGAAGGAGTTTGAAATTCACTGTTGCTACTGTAGGTGTGTGTTGGCCTGGTCATGTGACCAGCTCACCTGACAGGTAAAGGATTAATTTTAAATGGACAAGTTCATCACATTTTGCAACCTGCTGAAGACTCTTATGCCAGAAACACACCGCCTGCATTGCGTTTGCGTGGCGGCTAGTGCTGAACTGTTGTAGAGAAGCAAACGTGTTCACACGGGCTGTGTCGCTGCTACTGCCAGCTCAATCTCTCTACGTTGAGTTTGCAGGTTACGTTTTCTTTTCATTATAAATTTAATTGATTTATTTCTAACGGAAAACTAAAATGCCACTGCCTCCACATGCAGCTGCTAAAATGGTTAAAAAACATATTCATATTTTTTCATGTGATATTCAGCCTAGACAAAGACAACTATAGTGGAAGGTGTCAGTTTTATGTTATGTTGCTGGTATGATGTCAATATGACATCAACAGGTCTTTTCTCTGTGTATTTTTGCTGGGGGGGGGGGCGCACGTCTCATGCAGGCAGTGTGTCCGCTCTAACCCGTAACATGGCTGCCGAAATGAAAACCATGACGTTCTGCAGCCGCCACACACGCAACTCATCCAGTGTGTTCCTGGCCTTAGAGGTTGTTATCCTGTCTCCCTTTGCTTCAGTAAAAGCTTTTTTTTTTTTTTTTTTTTTTTTTTTTTTTTTAAACAGTGTATTTGCATCAAAGTGCCTCAGATTTATGTTTCTCCATCGTTACATCCTGTACTTTCATGCTTGGTCCAACAGTCAAAAAGAATGAGGGATTTTTACATCTTGTAGGCAACAGGAAACAACACAACTTCAATAATGAGACTGGTAAATCATTCACTGCTGGGTGAATCCTAAGTGCCCGGCTGTGCGTGTTTCCCATATGTAGAAATTATTTTGGTGACACCAAAATACATCTCAAAAAAGGTTTTGGATTTTGCAGTTTATTAATTATCTCTGGAAATGTACCTGAAAGAGGCTAAATGACTTTCTCAATCAGTGTAGTTACATTATAAATGCATGACTCCCAGATGCCACCTCTTAAAATTGTGTGCTGATAAATCATCTCTACAATTCCCCATTTTTCAGTAAAATTAATCTAAGATGTTAAGGGAAGAAACACACATTTCATTCTGCCGTCTGAAGTGGCAGGTGGTAATTCCTCATTTCTTCTTTGACTTTTTTTCTCACATGAGCAATTTCAGGGCAGTGGCAAAAAAATTCAATCATCCAATTTGGCTGATTAAAAAAAAAAAACCCCAAATATTTGCTGTTGATGTGGAGGGAGTATGTTTGGGGTTAATGCCTCTGTGAGAGATGAGCTTTAGTCAAATCCCTCTTCTTCTTTTCCTTTTGTCCAAAAAAGTATGGATTATTTTATTTGTCACTCCACAGAAGAACCCAAGTTACCATACCAGTCAAGAAGAGACCAGACCAGGACACTCAAAGACCAGACCAGACCTCAACAGAGCAGACCAGCAGACGCCAAATGGCCTCTGGTCTACGACTTCACTACGGGAACCTTCCATGCTGAAGAAATATGTGTATTCATGTGTTTGACAAAGATAGAGAAAGAAAAAGTGAGAGAGACTGAGACTCTGCAATGGTTTATGACCAGTTGCCTGTGTGTGTGTCTAAGTGAGAAGGTCCTCCAGTGGTGTATCTACGACACTCCGTTCACCAGCGGAGGAGCGTCCTGTTTGTCCTTCTTCATCCCTCGGTCTCTGATGGGTCTCTGATGATGATGACGGGACGGGCCCTCGCCGCTGGCACCGACACCACCCTGCGAGGAGGAAGGCCCTCCTCCTCCTCGCCCCCCTGACGAGTGCTGCACGCTACGCTCGTTGTTACCGTCCACACGGATCTGTGGGAGAAGAGGAAACAAGTACAGTTTGGTCCCACAGTGCACAGGTTCAAATGGAAGAGATTAATGTGTGTTTGCTAAGCCCTGTCCCCCTTAGTTACTCTGTCAAAGTTTACATTTTCATTAAGATAACGGTGGCAGATTTGTAAACCACTTGAAAATCTTTTTTGAGACAATGGCTTCTTAATTTCACATGGAGGTAAACAAAAGGAGGCCCAGTGGTCTGGTCATAACGATCTGGCCATTGTCAGAGTTGCTTAGGTCTTTACATCTTTACACCTGCTCTTTTCTCCCACGTCCAACAGGTTGACTACAAGATCCAAGTGTTTGCTTACTGTCTGATATATCCCATATATTGACATGCACTGTAGTTAAGACACAATCAACGTTATTCGCTTCAGCTGTGAGTGTTCAGAATGTTTTGGCTCATCGGTGTAAACTTGTTTGTATTTTCAAATTGTATGTTTTTATTCTTAAAATTACAACAGAACAAGCTTCCATGATAAGAACTAACTGATGTATTTGGCAAATGTAATGAAACCTAAGTTTAGCTGGACTGAGAATCAAGGTTTCTGTGTGGGGTCTTAAAATGTCCATCCAGAGACAGCTTCACATAACTCGTTAGAGTTTGTAAGAGTGAGTGTGTTTTACCTGTAGGGTGTCTTCCTGCCCTCTTGTTTTGGGGTCTCTGACATGACGAGGTCTTGGCTCGCTCCACTGCATGTCGTCACCTAAACCCAGACAAAAAAATTCTGAGTCTCAACTGACGGGTTTCATCCCTGCTTCCACCACTGGACAGGAAGGGATGAACTTGTACTTGAATCAAAAACCATATATAATATATATATATATAATCACTGTCATGCAGCCAAAACCTTCACATGTTCTGCCATGTCTAAAGTGAACAGGGCGTTGGCATGGTTACATTTATGAGCATCATAATTAGATTTATGTCAGGGAAGATTATTTTTATGCCTCTGTGCCAGTGAAAGATGTGGCTGGAGGCATTATGTTTTTGGATTGTCCATCTGTTCGTTCCATTCTTGTGAACGTGACGTCTCAGTAACGCCTGAGGGAATTTCTTCAAATTTGGTACAAATGTTCACTTAGACTCAAGGATGAGCTGATTAGAATTTGCTGGTCAAAGGTCAAGGTCACTGTGACCTCACAAAACATGTTTTTGGCTTTAATGCAACCATTCACTGACTAATTAACAGCAACTGGACTGGTTGGTGGAGGCAAACAACTGTAAGGCAGTAATTCTTGTTTCTATAAAAATGTGGATCTCTTTGAATAGCAAACACTCATAATGAGAATTCATTAGCGAGGAGAGTCCGCAGAGATCTCATTATTTGATTCACATCTATTCTTCAGGATATGATGTGATGAAATGCATCTCAAACTTATTTATTTCCATTCACAACACCAATTTACTTCTTTCTTTTTTCTCTTCTTTTTATACCACTTCAATTAAGATAATGTCCAGTCATTATCTTCAAAATTTGCTTTATCTCCAGTCAAATGGTGGAAAAATAATAGGTAAACAGTTGTAACTGATTAAGAAAAAGTTTATCAGGCTTTTCCACTGGAAATATTTTACTTGTCTCAATAAACTCCCCAAAATACCTGCTAAGGACATTGCTACAAAAAGATCAATGACAGCCAATGATAATTACCACCCACCTTTATACCCTCCCCCTCCTCTTCCTCTCCCGCCTCGTCCCCTTGGTCCTCCGCCGCCTGCTCTCTTCCTCCCATCTGTTCGTCTGGGCAGGGTTCCGCCTCCTGTCATCAGCTCCTCGGTGGGGGCCAGCGACCAATCGCTGAGTTCGTCTCTGTGGTCTGACTCAGTCTCTGAAGCGTTGGATGCCTCTGAGTTGGTGCCTGGGGGACAGAGTACACAAGTCAAACCTTATTAAACTGCCTCAGAAAAAGACAGCATGTTATTTACCTTTGATTAATTGTTTAGTTTTATTATAATGTCGTCGCCTGGGACTCTTCATTCAGCAGTTGTACCAGCTGTATCTTTCATGTACTTCCCATTAAAATGTCAGAAATCTAAACATTTATTTTACCCTGAAACGGGTAATTCCACTCATCAAATACAGCTGAGAATAAACCCAGTCTATGCCAGAGATTCAGCTCCTTTGCTTAGTCATTGTGCCTTTCACATCCAAACCTGTGAGAGCACTTAGAGCTCACTGTAGGAGGCAAACACTTGAACATGAGATGAGTATTTTATATTCAGGTGCTTCAGTTTCCCTTGTATGTGTACAAGCACAGTATTTAAGATGTTATGATTATTATTGATTATTATAATTATTAATTAATTTGTTTATAAAGGATGTAGTAATTTTTATCATACCTGAGGCGAAAGCTGCACCTCCTCCTCTTCGCCCTCGTCCACCTCTTCCTCCCCCTCCTGTGTACGGCTTTCCTCCTCCTCCACCTCCTCCTGCTCCTCTGCCCATACCCAGCCCCATGCCATTATCGAACACGTAGGTTTTGTCTTTAGGGTTTCGAGGTCCCGTTCCTCCTCCTCCGCCTCCTCCTCCTATCTGTCTCAGCTGCTCGTCAATCTGAAGACGCTCCAGACGTAGCTGATCCACCTCCTGTGGACATGGATGATTGGAAAAAATCAAAACGTATGTTTATCCTGGTTTAGATCATATTTGGACCCTTGTACACCCTTGTATAATATCTCATATTATTCAGGTCTCTGGTTGCCTGCATTGATAGACTCTGATCACCAGTAAAGCAAAAATGGGAAACGGCAAAAATGTATCCTCTACATTACAGTATTCATGGCTTTTCCTTTTACTTCCATGTATATATATTCATGCTTTATTGACCAACAAATTAGGATTGAGGAGGCGTATTCAGGTTTTCCGTAACTGAAATAAGCGCTTATCCAATTTCTTGAAACCAGGACATAATATTTACAACCATAAACCACAAAGTCCAAAAACCCGGCATCTAAATCTAATCATACTAAAGCTCATGTAAATTTATGAATTTAAACATTAATTTTTTCACATTATGATCTTAAGAATCTCATACTTAGAAAATTTTGTATCATATCAGAATATTTTACAGCTGCATAAATATTTTTGGCCACTTGGGTGCAGCACCAACAAGGTGTAAAAACAAAATTAACAAAGGAGACTGGACCAAAATATTGAAATTGATGGCTGTAAAATCAAAAGCAGCTGATCAAATAATTCAGCTCCAAAAATAGTTCATTCATTCATCTGATCCATTCATCAACATTTTTAGAAAAATATTAAAGTGCAGAAAATAAAAAACTGCAGCTTTAAATTATTGCACATTTCTGCATGAAAAATTATTTGTGTTGATATGACAATAATTTACTATTAAAGTTATAACCACTTGCTAAGCGAAATGAGTAATCAGAGAAACCACAAACCACCATTCATGACATGTTAAGTCACTTTAACTATAACACTGTATACAAATATATTGTGAATATTGTATTCATGTAATTTTGAGCATTATGCTGTTAGTTTTATTTCGTTGTTTAAGAGCAGAGGCTGGTTAAAAATTAAAACACCTGATGCAAGATTTTGTTACGACTAGAGGTTCCACAAACCTTAAGGTAGTTGAGATGGTAGTCCAGCAGTACTGTAGCATTGGAGATGCTTTCCTTGGTCCCCACAAATACAAATGGAACCATGCCCTGTGAGAGAGGCGTAGAGCATGAAACAGAGTGATTAGATACCATCACTAGTTCAGTTATATCAATTATTGGAGTTAGGTCTTACCATTAAAATTAACCTCTTTTATGATTTCTTAACAACATGATGCTTTCACTAAATAACATCATGTAGGTTGTGTTGGTGTCACATAGCTCAGTGGGCAGAGTAAGTGATTTTAAGATTAATTAAAATGTTTCTTTCCCACTGACCTCGTCTGCTGCTGCTGCTGCAGCTGCTGAGGGCTTTTTGTCGTTTTCAGGCTCAATACGAACCCGCACCACACCAGACTTATCAACAACTTCCTGGATCAGTTTACCGTTCTTGCCAATCACCTTCCCTGTAAGGGCACAAACATAATCAATCACAGTCTGCTGGGACTGAGGTTTAATTATCTGTCTAATCCTTAAATAAATTCAAGTTACCACATGAATAAGCTCACTGTCTCAGTTGAGTGATTTTCTCACCTACTAAGTTCCGGGGAACTTTGATGACATCTTCAGAGAACTCCAGGAAGCTCCTGGCCACGCGGACAGCATCCTGGTCCTTAGGGCAAACAACCACAGAGCAAATATACAATGTGTCACTTCATTACCTCACTCAGGTTTAACTTTAACATAAAAATATAAATAACATGAAGGGTAAAGGTCTCTACATACATAGTTTATACTAGTAAATCCAGAGACAACACAGGCCAGTGTGCATATCTATCAATGTGTCAGTTCATCAGTGATTGGGTGATGATCCTCAGTATCAGTCGAGCCCTCCTACCTCTCCGTATATGTGAAAAGTGCACGTTTCTTCATCCAGGTCTATATTAGTGACTCCAGGGACTTTACGAGCTTGCTGGATGTTGGCCCCATGAGTCCCAATGGCAAGACCCATTAAATCATCCCGGACTGCAAACTGTTCATGAAACCGTGATGCCAGTTGTCTGGAACTCTATCGAAACACACAGACACACACATAAAAACATTAATCGGTCCCACAACAGAGCAAACAGGAAGTATAGGAGTCTTGATGACAAATCCTTTAAGAAATCTATAATAATTTTTAACTGCAATATTATTAAATTAAATGCACGTGTACACAGACACATATATTTGAAGTTGTAGATGTCCATAAGCATCATGCTTTTTGTGTGTGTTTGTGTAACTGTCTACCTCCAGTTGTCTGCTGGCCTCTTCGTTCCTCAGCATGAGAGACAGTTTGGTGCGGAGGCTCCTGAAGTGCATGTCACTCATCATGTTGGCCCGCTTCGTTGTGACCTCATTCACTGACTGTGAAAAACAATCAAGACCCATTTCACACACGGTATCTAAATGTGGAATGTGTTAGTGATGGAGGCCATTTACAAAAGGGGGTGTGATGTGATGTGATGTTGTAAGTAATACACATGGTGCCCCAGTCACACAAATTTGGATTATGTGCACAAAATGTAATTCAAGAGATAGACAGAAGACTTTTGTCTCATGTTTTCAAAGAAAAAAAGCTTCAGTTTTATATACCAGTATGACAAGCTGCTTTTTCTCTGAGTCATAGATGACACTGAACGCTCCCACTGCCTTCTTAAAGTCTTTGTGTGCCGATTCCTTGGAACACCTGTCAAAACAGAGTTACACAAACTCATATCATGTTCATTCATGACACTAAATTATTCAGTGATAATTACTGATTATTTAGGGACAAGTGTGCACATAACTGCAATTCATCACAGATATGTGCTACCCTTATAATAAATCATAATTTAGTTTTTGTAGAGTGTAATACAAACATGTGCATGTGTAGCCCAATCACTGCCATTTATTATTAAAGGCTTATAAAAGTTTGATGATTACAGGATTTAGACAATGAAAACCAACAACAATGTGGCTTACACCTTCTTAAGTTGTTGCTACATATTTGGGTGTCATATTAATGTTATACAACACTGCTCCTCTGTTGGTATTAACATTGTGCCACACATAAACACCCTGACATTGTGTTCCCCTGACACATGTGGCTACAGATCAGCAGGCTCCATTTAAAATTTGTATACTACAAGTAATATACTAACCCTCACAGGTGTTGTAATTCAAAACTTTGAAAGTTTCTGATGCTTTACCTTCAACTTGCACAGTCGATACAGAGCATTAGCTGTTGGTGCAACAGTGATCATTGTCTGTATACTTGTCCACTGTGTAATAGTTCCATGATCAAGCGTTACTTCAAAGCAGATAATTAAAATTAAGAATTTTTAACTACTCAAGCTCCTTGAGTTTGTTCCTTGCATAAGCCCAACGTTTACTTACAAATCCTGCTGGTATTTACCTTACAACCCCTGAGATGTATTTGGTGGACATAAAAGTATTTGTGTGTGCATGTCCATATAATGAGCTTACATCTGTCGTAGATCCTCGGGTACATCCAGTCTGATCTTGATGAAGGTGGTTTTTGTGGCTGGTTTATTTGGGTTGACTGGCCGTAACCTCTCCAGTGTCACTATCTCATTTAATGTAGCGTCGCATGCAGCGTACTCTATTACATAGAACTGGATACAAGAGACAAACAAACATATTGTCAGAGTGATCCAGTTCTGCACAGTATAAAAAGCAAAATGTGCAACAGCGGGTTTGGAAAAAAAGTCTAGATCCTAACATAAAATATAATTATCTGTTTTAATTACTTAATTAATCAAAATTTTCTGGAAAAAATGTGGGTAAGAGAGAAAGTGAGAGAGAGACAGAGGAAGAGACGCACAGATACAAAAAAGACAGTGGATGATATAAAGTGTAAAACCAGGACACAGACAAAAATGGGGAATAGAAGTAAAAGAAGAGCTCAGAGCCATAAGTCTGACAGGTTAGCCTAAATTCAGTCTGCCAGTCACTTGTTCAATAGCTGCAAACTCAACTAAACACCTACCATCAAAATAACTCTAGCCACCAGAGAAATGACTGTATACTTGAGCTCAGGATCTACGCAGAGCCACTTCAGGGCACTTGAAGAACATTTCTATGTTTTTAGTGTGTATTCTAAAACTCTTGGGCTTCGTAGGCCACTGAAATTGAGGATCAATGCAGGACTCAAAGAAAACGGGTCTGACATTAATGTGTCCAGCAGGGCAGTGTTAAGGCTGCATTTTAAGGAAAATGAAGTCACTACAGCAGTATGGCATAAATGATTATGAATAGATGAACCAGTGACATTGTTGCCATGCTGCTTGGTGATTGGTTCTGATTTGACTGATAGCTTCAGTCCTCAGAGTGTTAATGAGCCTCAGAGCTAGTGTATCCTGAGCCCTACCTCTCCTTTGACCATGCGAACCTTGGCCAACCACCATCCACATGGCTCCTTGTCATTAGCCCTGGAATATACCTGGCAACACACACAGACGATTAAAGGAATCTGGCACAGAGGGTCAGGACAAGTCAATAAACAAACTTAATGCAGAGATCAACTGATATGTGCTTATTTTTTAATCCAATCCATTTATAAAGGGGACTTTCAGACCTTTTTGAGAACTTCTCCATTGAAAGTTGCCATACCTAAATGAATATTCCTTTGCACTCTAACTACACCAACTTTGTCATAAATCAGCCGTCTTTGGTGGCAAAATTTTTGTAAACAATTGTGAAGGTATTGAATCAGTCCCACCTCGACCTCATCGCTCTCATTGATCTCCTTGCAGAACCCTGTTGGAGGAGGAAATCGCACATCCTGAAATGGGATCTGACGCTCTGGCTGCCAACTAGGACAGAGGGACAGAACATTAATGCAAATATTTGTGTGAATTTCATGATTGATAAAGGAAACACTTCACAGTATATTATATTTTGTTGTGTATGTGCATAACTCACTTGTTTTCAAACGCTACAGTGACTGATCCTTCGTGAACATCCTTCACAAAGGCCTACAAGAATCAAAGTAGGGAATGACATATCAGAATAACCAGGACTTGATATACCTGTATTAATAATCAATAGGAGCTTTACACTCAAGCATGTAAAAGGCCTGCAAATCAGCTACCCAAGCACAAAAACATCAGTAACCAAACAGCCTAATTTTTTTTCTTTTTTTAGGCTCTGGGTTCAAGTCAGGTTTGATTCTGTCTCTCTCTGGTTGTACACACAGTCTGCATCCATGTGTGTCAAGTACTGCAAGTAGGACATGCAATGCCTAGGAGGAAAAGAGAGAAATAGAGAGCCTAACCTAGCCTATGGGTAGTAGATGAAATGAAGCAAAAACTTCCAAAAGGAAAGCTTCTCAAAATCCCCAAAAACACAGGGAAAGCTGTTTAACTGTGCCAACTTTATGACCTCTTTGACCCATAATCATGCTGTAAACCTGTAAACGTAGCTCCTCACCGATTTATGACAGCTTGAACCGTCAGTTTTAGGAGCAAAGTTCTGAGGATGTAAGCTACATTCATCTGGCCAAAATTGGGATGGGCTCAAAGGCAAAGAAAAATTGCCAAGGCAGCGAATGTATTATGAGATAATATAGTGTCATGTGCAGGCACTTTTTAAATCAATCTATTCCTATTAATTAAATTTCATTAAATCTGGGTACTTTTCAGTAAAAACTGACAACTTTGACATTTATCCATGCAGTCTGGTGTCTTACAGTTTCTCTAGTCAGAAATTACCACAGTGGTGATGATAAACTACCTACCTCCAAAACCTGTATGACTGTCCTCATCTTAAGAAAGTATCAGACCACTAATTGCCAAATGACTACATCTGATTTACTGCATGAATTAGTTGAAACAACTGTCAAATAATTTCTTCAGTATTACTGTCATTTTGCAGATGAATGCAGTCATGACAATTACTATGTTCATTAATGGCCACAGCAGATGAATATTATTGTGATGCCAAAGAGACATCATTTTCAAGTAATGATCAATAGCTCATTTATCTCTAAAAGATCATTAAAAACAGCTTTCATAGTCAACCAAAACCCTCACAATCGTTCAACTAAAGCCTTCAGATTCAGAAATTGTTTATTTAAAAAACAAACCTATAAACAAGCATGTGATCTGCAATAAGCTGCAACCTATTTGGCTCGATTAAACCCAATACATGTACCAAATTTAGCTTGGTATTAGCATCCTGGACCCAGGCTGAAGTCCACTTTCATACAAAATTAAAGACTGTGCAGCACTGGTGTGGCTCTATGACAAAACACATCTCTGTCTCCTACAGCTCTATACACACACTGAGGAATTTCAATAAACTGGGCAACTGATACTTGTTAGTAGATAGATTTAATCTCCATATCTAATGGTATAGTTGTATAGTCCAAGAACAGTATAAAGCTAATGACATGTACTGCATTACACTTACAATTTAATAATAACTAATGTTAAGAACCATTAACATCCTCATAAATAAAGTCTGAAAATGACTTAAGGCATCTGGAATTTTTAAAACTAGGTTACTCTACAGTAGCCGAGATCCAGATGTGTGTAATCCCTACCCACATCTCAAATACATTTGTGCGAACACTATTGAACTAATCTACTGCCAATTGTGTAACTGTTTTTTGGTGAAAGTTTGAATAATAACACATGCCATTCAAACTGCAGGCCAACAACACTATTTGCATCTATTCACCCACTGCTGATGTTGCCACCTCTAACTTGACTTATTGCCAAGTAAAATCCATAAAGGAGTCTTTTAGCAATCAGGAATATGCTTTAGTGAAGTAGTCATTTCTTCATACATTTAAAACACTTCAGCTGGCACTGAATGCAGCGTGAGGAGTCTACAGTGTAAATGGCAACAGTCAAGTGCAATTTAAAGATTTGCAGGAAAGTTTGCTGGCCAACTCAAAACGTATTACAATGCAGAATGCTTTCTGGAGGCTGTACTGTGCAGTCATTGCATTCATATGCCTTATAATAGTTTGGCAGCATCAAAGCTTCTACTTCTAGAAAGATGACATTAGGTGCAAGCAATCACAATCCAGTCTCACTTATTCTGTAACCAAATTAGTAGAGCTACTATACACTAAGTACACAGTCAGCGGATCTCAGCTACTGTATTGTGCTATTGTAATTGTTACCAACTTTCTTCCTTTATACTGCCACACTTATATGATGGCTACAATGAGTAGTTGCCTTGGAGATTAAGGTTTTACAATCAAAACATGAGTTCAAATTAAAATATTGGTAATTATTTGTATTTTCTTCCTTCTTTTCTTCCAACCTTCTGTCTTTCCTGCTTTTTTGTTTCTCCTCCCTTTCATTGCCTTATAAATACAATCTTTTCATCCCACATCAAAACTTGTATGTTAATAACCTGAGGAACTTGAGTACTTCTTCCATCAATGATACACACAGGCCATGGGATCAACACCTGTATATCAATATTTGCTCTTGTGTCTATCTTGCTCATAGATATTAGTTAGATAACCCTGCTTTGCAAGACACACTCCTAACTTACTCCCCTCAGTCTATGGTATTAATATGATCAAAGACCGGGAATTTTGGATGTTATGCAGATGCATAACATCCAAAATTCCCGTTCATCCTACTTGTTGACTCTTGTCTTCAGTATAACCCCCAAATTCTCACCAATATTGATAAAACAAAAGCTACCAGCCCACTAGAGGAATCATGCAGGTAACACATAACACCCAAATTTGCTGCTGTTATCCTGAATTAAAACACAAACCGTGACCGAATTTTAGTACTTCTGTATCTGCAACCAACTGCCCACCACATTGCCCATCAATTTACAGATAATAGAAGACTGCGATCACGTCAACGTTATCAACACTACTACAAATGCATTGGTTTAGCACCGACATTAACACCAATTACTCACTCATTCAGCTAGCAGCACTGAGGTTACAGCAGCAGCCTAGCGTTAGCTTTGTTTACAGATTTTCAACGGACAGAACCAATGAGGCCCGCAGATACAAACAAATGTTTCTTAGCTAGTCCAGCAAGGCAGTTTCATGTTAGTTAGCCTAACGTTTATGCATAGTGTCGTAAGTAAGATGACGACGCTCAACAAAAGTCATTTACTTACCTTATAAAAGGCCCCACTTGTTCCCCTCACTTCCACGACTAGTTCATCCATGACGCAAGTTACTACAGCTCGCTAGCTAGCTAACCACCGTTAGCGACGTTAGTAGCTAGCTAGCTAGCTAGCTGGCTAGCCTGACGCTAGCCAAGGCACAGTTTGCTATCGTTGGCTTCGCAAGCTAGCCAAAATAGCCTGCCAGTTGGATGCAAGAAGAGGCCACGATAACTGTCTGTGACCGTAATGTTGTGTCCCGTTTTGTACAGTCTATGAATCCTGTTTTTGTTTCCTTCAGGTTTGAAATTCCGAAAATATAATAAATCAAAGGCGACCCATGTAGCTAGCCAGGTTAGCTGGTAGTTGCTAGTTATGTTAATGTTGTGTGATTAGTGGTGAAGCAGCTACTGCTGGTCGCATCTCTCCATGTGACGTCTCCACGTTCTTCCTCTACTGAAGGCTGAGACTGCTTACACTTATCTACGCCCATTGCTGCTCTCCACAGGTGATAAATGGAAATGCCGATTTCACATAGCAGGACAATTCATCTAAATAAAAACAAACATCGCCCTTATGCTGGAATGAACGTCATTCCGTTTCCCAACTCAAATCAAAACAGACAATAGACAGTGTGGCAGTGGAAACAGCTTTATCCATTCGTTTTCTGGCCATATCTAACTTACTCTTAACTGACTATCTCTCTTATTTAATTTCACAATGTGTATTCACAAAAATGAAAGAAAGGCATTTAGTCTATTGGGGAAATACTGTTTTTATTTGAATGGACAATCGGACTCTCTGTGGTTCTTCAATCCCAGGATATATGAAAATAACATACTTTCAGAACCTAGGACAGCGACCACTTAAGATTCATCAATCAGTGTTATTTCTCACATCTGCCTCAGGTTCAGCTCATAAGACACTTAAATGTATTTATTTGTCACTGGAGCTCTTTTGTGTGTGATGTAGTATTATTTATATTGGAACAGTTTGATGTTTCTACTCAGCTCACCCTACACTTTTTCCACAGTTTCATAATTTGTTTAATAACTTTTAGTTATTAATATCACTGACGGTCTGTTTCCAATCAGATGCCTCTGGATAGCTGACTTGCCAAAGCACATCATTCACTCATCATTCATGACATACTTCAAAACTTCAGTATTTGAATGTCTAACTGTGTTTTCTGACATGTTACATGTTATTGCACAATTTAATACCTCATCAAGACATCTTTACATTCAGCTTGTCTCAAGAACTGTTGGGTATAGTTTTTTAAAACTATACTCAGAATTATCCACTTAGAAATTTTAATCTTCTTGTTCATAGACCTATAGAGTCAGTATCAAGAGGAGTATAAAATTAAACATAACGTCTTATGTTTTGCCTTTCTGGTCTTATAACACTCTCATAATTCAGAGGCTCTCATCTGCTCTATCCATTGGATGTGATCTGCTTGAGAATTAAATTTTCTTGCCAAAGACAAGGAGCAGCACCAAGCCACATGTTTGGGGAAAGAAAGAATTGACAGACAGATGTAGACACATTAACATATGGAGGCAGAGAAGGAGAAATTGAAATTGAAAGTACTAGAGGTCACTGAAACACAGAGGCACTGACAGTGAGATATGAGCCAGGCATAGGAGGACTTAAAGGGATCAACTATAGAGAGATCAGGACAGAAATAGAATTAGAGGGCAGTAGAAACACGGTGATACACGAAGGGTGAAATAAGATACAGAGCAGACAGAAAAACAGACATGAAATCTTCAGTTCCTGTATGTGGGAGGGAAACAGACTCTGAGAGGAAATACCTCTGTCAGGAAATTAGTAGATGGCCAAAACAGACATTTTACTGAAAACTTCATCATGTATGCTTAGGGAGTACATAATCTCAAAAGAACAGAAAAGTTTAGTGTAGCATGATTGAACTCCTCTCCAAAGAATGAGGCTCTGAGTCAACTGAAGCTTGCTCAGCGGTTTTATCAGAAATCCCTGTGAGATTGTAACAACAACGAAGAAGACAGACGATCTGATACAGTCCAAAACAATAATAAATTCACAGCCAAAACACATTGTCATCTGAGATTCAACAATTATAATCAATTTATAACATCACAAAATCAAGTAACACCACTCTTAAGGCTTTTGTCAAAGGAGTAACTTGGTATTTTGACTTTTAATCTGAAAAATTTTGTTGTACTGGACAATAATTTGTATCACTGACAACATAGGATGAGGGTTCAAATCTCTGTGTCAGCAGGCATCCGTCCTGCTGAAGTGTCTTTGAGCAAGGGCTGCTGTTCTGTGAGTGACCCATCCCAGGCCTCATACCTCTATGGAGTCACTTTAAGCTTAATGGAGCATAAAATGGCAGAACCTATCCCAGGTGTATGATTCTTCACCGTGTTGCTCTAACAACCCTGAAGGCAGGTGCTAAGCGCTGAAGGGCAGGTCTGACATGACCTCTGACCTGTGTCACTCCGTTGCTTAAGGTGGCCTGTCTTCACTATGTGCACCACCACACCAAAATTCATTGACAGACAGAGCACATTGAAGTGAGAATGAAAGAGTTCTTTTTTGTGACCAATTATATATTAAATTTTGAAATTGAAATTTTGAAGGTTGATAGAGCCCAACCATTTAAGTAGCATGGCCAATTTTCATCTCATTACCGATGTATTGCTATCAACGTTGGTTGATACGTGAAAGGAAATATAAATGAAAAGTTGTTGCTATTTCACAGTTTGTCCACCTGTAAAATCTAGGTCACAGTTATTTATAACTAAATATAAGATATATTCTTATCAACTTTTTAAAAACTTTAAAATAGCAATATTATTATCTGCCATAAAAATCAGTCGGGCTAGCGTTGGTGAGACAGGGACCCAGGAGAACCTGAGAATGAAATTTCTTTCCTGTTACGTTTGGGATTCATACATGATTTCATTTTCCTATTCACTGAATATTTATTCATTTATGGTAGGCAATTATTTTAATGCTCCATTGTGCTTAATGTGACAGCATTGATTTCCCTGTGGAGGGGAAAGAGAATTTCTCCACAGACATGAATAAATATTATGATATTATAATTTTTAATTCATTTAAAAAAAAAAAAAGACAAGTCTTGAAAACCACAATAGGATAGGAAGTTAATATGAAAATATAATAATGCTAACAAGCTGCAAATACCAGTCTCCTTTCAGCTGTGTTAGCATTACGTACATTTCACATATGGTAACTTTTCTTAAACAGATAAATAAAATTACCAGACTAAATTTCAAAATGTCAAGGGATACCTTTAAGAGCAAATACTGGTTATTAAAAAGAAATAAAATAAATAGGGAAACATTTTAACAGATAAAATACAGGGTAAAGGGAAGCCAAGTATACACACTGTACATTTCTATTCTTAACTCTTAGATCTGTGTAAAACATACATTTGCAGTGATTTCAAATGTTTGTAAGAGAAAGTTGATATGAAGCTTAATGTAGAGTATGTAACTGCAATGAGTGATAACCGGTACATTTATTTATTGCACAATAAATGACACTTCTAAACTATTATCAAGTTAATACAACAGGATTGTCTTCAAGTGAAAACCTGAAAACAAAAAATGACTAAATTATAACTTTTTTTCCCCAGTCATTTGAAACCAAGTCAAATGTTATTTTATTCAGGTCTGGTAAGCATATGAAGTAAATGCAGGCACATTCTTCTTTTTTCCACAACATGTTTTTCTTCTCATTAGGCTAGTACAATCATCTCACTCTTATTTCTGCGACTAAATTAGCCACATTATAACTAACCTAATGGTAGACAGAGCCATAGTTATTTGTTAGCAGACAAAACGTTGCAGGCTGTGCCCATCCTCTCACGCATTATTTGCTGGGATATGATCCACCCACCTACAACCCTGAACAGAATAAGCGGTTTAGAAAATGGATGCATGGTTGTTGTCCTAGTTTTTGTGTTCTCTTTCTTGTTGAAACTATGGCTCTGGGTGGCATGTATTAAAGTTAAAATCTCCTTTTCAAGTCACAGCTTTGCCCGTACAATGAGAACAAACAGAGCTCTTCCTGTTTTTTTTTGTTTTTTTTACAGTAGTGTCATTTAATTCACTTGTAACAGCTGTTTGATCTTGCTGCTATTAATACAAGCATGAATTAAAATGATGAAAAACGGTGAAGAGTTTTCTAATAAAGATTGACAAAACCTGATACACCTCAGACAATATAAATTTCACTTGGATTTGCACAGTGTTTGAATTGCTCTATGTGTTGAAATAATTAGGTCACCAGGCTGTCAGCTTGGAGGGAACACTGGCCTTAAATGCTCACTGATCTGAATTTCTTTTACATATGGCATACAAATATATTAATAGCATTGCTCCAAAGTAGGCTACAACATTAAATTAGGGTAAGATATGGTGAATGTGCTGCTATAACATATTGGCAGCATCACAGTCAGGCGTGTGGATTGATGCTTTATTACACAAACTTCATAGCTCCAACACTAAGTTGTGTACAGTGTGTTCTTCCACCCACAACCCAGCTGGGAACTGCCTCCTGTAAAACATACTGTATCTATGTGTACAGTGAGTAATGAATATGGCTTTCTACAGTGTTTCACGCAGCCTGTATCATCCATGGCTCGGATACTCCTGGACTCATTCCTTTTCAAAGACACCAAGCATAAATAGTCCACTCATACTATCCTGGCTCAGGCTGGGTAGCAGTATAAAGATCTGCATTATCTATACAGGGGTCACAGTTTTCTGTCATTTTTTCCCATCTTCTTTGAAACTGGAGGCAGTGATATTGATGTAGAAATCACATCATCTAAGACAAAAGGCCTTTACCTTGAAAATGTTTATTATAGACTGGAATTGCTGTTGATAGGGAGACTGGCTATCTTAAAGTCACACATGGCAAAGACTGGATGTTTCTGCATTTGCACACAAAGGGAAAGCTGGATAAGCCACTCTGCCACTGGGAAAACATGGAGAGGATATGTTTACAACAGGATTATATGAGAAAGAGGAGCCGTGCCACGATAGCCCCTCTTTATAAGAGAGTGCATTTCTCCTGCATAAGGGAAAGAGGATCTTGAAGCCTCTAAATCAATATGTGACACACTGCCTGACAACTTCTAGATGGGCCGTTTTCAGGAGACCTTGTTCTCAAGGTCTTATTGTAAGTCCTTTGAGCTCAACAAGACTTTTCTGTCTCCTATTTTATAAATGTCTAACGTGTATTCTCACCTTTCCCATGTACTTGTGATCTCACAGTGAATTTAAGTCAACTGTCACTCGTAAAGGGTAGATATCAGGTATGTTAAAATGCTGAGACCAAAAGAGTCTCATTCATCCTCTCAAACAGTCCCTTCAAGAGGCTGTCAGAGTGTTTGCTTCGTTGTATAAACCAAGATCATCTCGAGTGCTTAAAAGACTTAATGAGACTAAAACCTCTATGCTACTTTTACTGAGGCAGCTTTTAAAGGCAGTAGAAAAAGGCCAGGAAATGCCTCTTTCAGATAGGATGTGGATAAAAATCAATATGCGACTGTGATATATGAGTTCTGATATGGTGCATCAGAATGTTGGTGTTAATAAACACCGAGCCAGGGCTGGTTTCAGTTTGTTTTGGAGCTACAAAACGACTCCTATGCTTATGGTGTTATGTTTGCCGGTGCACTGGGCCCACAGAAAGTATATTTACTGGGATTGTGTCTATGTTTGAAAAATTGAGTCTTAAAGGCAACATTGTCTAATTTCTGAATTGTTAATAAATGTGTCACTTTCTATCCTCACTATCCACTCTTCTCCTCATCCTCAAGAACACAAATATTGATGATTTTTCAGTCCCTTACACAAGCTTTGACTTCTCACTCCTCTTCCTCTTCTCAACCTCCCCATCGTCATCCTAAACTAGAAAAGTTGCACTTAATTTAAAAGACTCTTGTTTTAACCTCACTCTCCCATCATGCCTCTCCTCCTCTTCCTTAACATGTACAGCTACTCTTCTCTCTTCCCTTCCATTCCCACTCCTCCTTTTCCTCAACAAGGACAACTACTCTTTGTTGCAGTCTCTTGTGTGAGTCGCACTCTCCCATCCTCTCTCTCCACGTCTCTATAGAGCAGGGATTTCTGGGCCTTCAGGCGGCAGGCCAGGGACATGAAGATAGAGTCGACGTTCTGACTCTCCCGAGGGTCCTTGGCTGATGTCTCAAACAGCAGCATGTTGTGGGCGTCAGCAAACTTCAAGGCCATATTGGAGGGCACCTGGGGAAGCACCAGTGTTTGGTTGTAAACCTTAATCAAATTTAGGAATGTAAATAAAGTATTATATTCTGCTGTGGTTCTGCACTAACCTGTATTTGGTCCACAAGGTCACACTTGTTTCCCACCAGGACTCGAGGTACTGATGCTGAAACCCGATGGCCGTTACACTCCTGGAGCAGAACAGGAAGAACAGAATGTAGCTTTAGAAACTATGTTTCTATGATACCATAAAGACCATAAATATGAGCATCAGGGAAGGGAAAAAAACATTACAAATTGGCCTCTTAGCGGTAATTAAGCGGAGTTTATGACAGCTTCAATATGTCACACTTGGCAAAAACAACTGCAGTGCGAACCAACTGGTGCCAGAATGGCTGCAAGGTTCCCATTTCCTGCAGTTCAGTATCACCGCCTCACGGTTGTATGTCTCCTCCAACCTGCCAAGTTGCAGTTCACATCCATATCTGTCTAGACTCATATAATGTATGTAGTGAAGACTTCGCAGGAATTTAATGAAAGGTATTAAATGTATAGTGTTAAGTGTAAGTGCAGAATATTATGATGTCACAAGTTGACCTTTGACCTTTTGGATATGAAATGTCATCACTTCATTTTATCCTACTAGACATTTGTGTGAAATTTTGTCATAATTATTGCATAAATTCTTGAGTTATGGCCAAAAACCTGTTTTGTAAGGTCATAGTGACCTTGACCTTTGACCCTTGATCGCTACTTTGGCCATGGCTATCGCCAATATAGAGGAATAATAAATTCCTATGTATCCTATAATTCTATATACATGCTTATATCTGGTTTACCATGCTATCAAATTGTTACAGCATGATTGCATGTGTAACTCCTAACCCTAACCCTTTTATTAGAAATTATTGTTCGAACGTAGGAAAGTATTTAATATTCTCTCTGTAATGATCTGTTCATGTTCAAAATTCACACTGTAAAATTAGACAGGCCTTGTAGCAATAGGTGTTCGTCACCCTGTGCTGTGGCATTGCCGAAAGTCAGGCTGATGTGCCCTTTGTTACTGCAAAAACAAGGAAACTAACTAGCCATGCTGAACAGATAATCCTGACACCAAACACCTGTAAATACTGAGTGGAAGCATTTTGGATTCAACACCAGGTGGAAAAAGGTAAGAGCGTTTGTTGTCTTCTCAAAATAGATTACAGTCAAATTACAACAACAGCAAATCTGATGTTAGCTTTTAGCTTGTCACCCATTAGCTTATAACATAGTTAGCGTGTCACTCAAGTAGCATTGGGAAATTAACATAGCGTCGTCAATTTTACAATGTAAGGTTATTTTTAAGAGGCTGTATAGGTTTGCATATGAAGTGTTAGTCCTTATTTCAATTTTAAATTTTTGAAAGAGTAACAGCCCTAATGTTTGCTACAGATACTACTACTGATGGTAGAACTGAAAATTCTTGGCCTTTCGTCCACACGCAAACTACATTTTAGGTCACTGAAAATAGATCTTTTTCAAAACTCTTTCCAGGGTGAAGATGGTCAAATACTCATTTTTCTGAGCTGAGTTTTTGGCTTGTGATGTCTGAGTGTGCGCTGTTATCTCCTTGAGTTGATTTTGTGCAATTGGCCGACATGGCTTTACGGTTAAGGCTATATCACCACCTGTTGTTTTGGCATACTCTTGACATTTTGTTTTTGCATTTTCATATGAATGGAACTTTTTTTTTAAAACAGTGCTTGTGTGGACTAAGCTTAGGCGATAAAATTTTATATCTCAATACAGTCCAGCTCAAATATCGTAATATTCAAAATTATCCAATATCATCAAATATTAGCCCAAGCCTAGTGTGGACAGGAAAGCCCGTTTTAACATATGTGCGTGTGGACTAGGCCTTAAACGATTTTTTCCCCTTTCAAAAGTCACTCCTACATACACAACCACACAAGCCACTTTGAATAATTCATTTTCTAAGTGAAGCCGCAGTGCACCTCTTGATGAATTGGGGCTTTGTTGGCTTCCTCACAGCAGTAATAACAACTGTAATAGCACTAGCAGCAATCCATCCTATTCGATGGAAACATCACACTGACAACCCATGAGTAATAAATAGTTATAATAGAAGGCAGGAACACTGAAGAGACGATGATTGTGCTGTCTGCACCAAAAAAGAGAAGTACTGTCTGTAAGAAAAACATTGGGTTTTGCTGTGCAGTTTAGCTCAGTCAACCCTTTCTAAACAAACAACAGTATTTAGAGTAGTTGTTTGACAATGTGTTGAGGAAGTTACTGACCTCTATCCATGTCTGTAGGTTGCGGAAGGAAGCCATCTTGGTGACGTCATACACAAAGACCACTGCATGGACATTGCGGTAATAGTGCTCCACCATGGATTTACGAAAGCGCTCCTGGCCTGCTGTGTCCCATACCTGCACCTGAGGGTGGGGGGGGGGGGGGGGTAGACAAGCTAAGTCTGTGTGACAGTTAAAGAGACAGAGATCCAACAGATGATTAAGTATATAAGTGAGAAAGACAAAACAAAGTCCCTAAATATTCTCTCAGTGTTTGCGGCTCTCAGAATAGACAAATGCATGGTGTATTTATCATTTTCGCACAGCTATTCGATTAAATGCGTAGTATTAGATCTTCAATCAGAATGATTTCAGTCAGAATGAAAAAACATGTGTGTGTATCCGTCACTAAGGAGTTGTCTAAGCCTATAAGGCCTTACAAGAAACAGTACATGGCACTGTGCTATGTCAACAGGATAGAGTGCTCAGATATTTGGAGGTATAGGGTCTCAGGAGACCACTGCTCTGTAGCACAGTGGACTTTTCTGCTTAATAATTAACAAAGGCCTCAGGCAGGTCTACTCTGTGCTCTATACAGTAAATGACGGGCAGTGTATCCCATAATTAAAGAAGTGACACAATTGTGAGGTTAAAACCAAAATAAAAGCACCACATTTGGAAATATCACTACAATGTATGCAGGCTGGCTAGCCATGGTTATAAAATTTTATTCACTGCCCTCAAATAATTAACTGTAGTCTTTTCACTGCCTGTCCTGTCAGGTCCCGCCGTGACTCTCAAGCTAATTCATGTAGCTAAATATACTGGTGTTTGCATCCAGCACGGTATTCTACAGCTGTTCGTTTGGAGTATACTGTTGGATTTAGCCCAGTAGACCTGTGGAGCATATGGAGCTTCTCCCCAGCAGTGTAATTATTTAATTGCAGCACATTTAACCACAGGGAGAAAGAGGAAGTGAGCACTGTTTTCCACCTCTGCACAAGAAAAGTATTGACATTGATTTTCCCTAAAAATAAAATTCAGTCATTTTAGATTCCAGATTGAGTAAAAATTACTTCAAGTCAGATACCACGTGCTCCTAAAAGTCAGTTTTATGACTGTTTCGGTGAAATCAGTAGCGGTTTGTACATCAACACGGATGTCTCCCAACACCCAGCCCAGGCCTGTAGTGTAAAAGGACTGGTAAATGATCTGCTGTTACCATCTGAAAGGACGAGCCTGGCTATTTAGCATCATAGCCTGAATGCTGCATTAGTGCCGCTCATAACATCAAAGCTCAGTCTTTGTTGAACACCTTTTAATTTATATCCACCATCCATCCAATTTGAAACTGTGCTTTTCAAACTAAACATAAATGCTTAGAGATAAGTAGTAAATTCAGTAAAATCTTAATAAATTCACAATACATTTTTTTGTCAACAGCTATGAACCACTAACATTGTTTATTTTATAAGATATCTTGGCTGTATGTCACGCTGACTTGAGAATCATTAACATTAATTTGACACCTAAGTCTACACATCTATACTTAGTACTCTGCTCTGCTATTTATAGCCCTCTGCAGCTTATAACATTTGCTGTTGCCAGTCTGTGTGCTACTTTTATTCACCTGCTTGAGGAGTACAGAATGCAATCCATGCAAAATTAATCTGAGTTTTGAGTGAATTTTAATTATATGTAAATCCTGTTACACTGTTCATAAACTGTGAGTGAAATTTTCACCTGTGCCGCCATGACGTTTGTTCATAACAGTCTTAAAAGCCCTGCTGCACCAGAAAAGGAGCAATGAAAGATTTCACACAAGATTTGAGCTTCCTGTCCCAGTTCTGGCAATAAATGATCTGCTGAATCTGAAATCCTACTGTTCTTATAAACCTTCAGCTCTCACTCTACCGCCACCAGTGCTGACACAAGTTATATGACACAAGATAAAATAAAATAAATCATTTATTCATAAGTGTCATATCTCTAAATACATACAGGGTTCCAGGTTTACTTTTAAAGGCGTCTTTAGACTGTGTGACAGCAACGATTGTGTAAGTTTGTTGCATGTCACGCTGTGTGAGATTGGTATTAAATTTTTGGTTGCAATCATTTTGAGGCTTGTCAGACTGTGCGTTGGATGCGTGGATAAGTGTAGCGCAACTATATAAAGTGTTTGAGAGGAGAGGCACGTCTTCAGCTCACGTCATTCATCCGTGCTGCTCGCAGCTCAGACGATTTTCTTCTTTGCTAGAATCCGACAAACTTCTTTTTCATGTCACCTCCACTGTTTTAGTTTGTGTGTGTGGGCATATGTTTACTCCTAAAGTTTTATTCAGAATATAGCACTTATGAAATGTTGTGCTCGCTAATGTAGTCTGTCATTTCATGTTAGTTTCTGATTGGTTGGTTTGGGGGTCCGGGGGGTCGTGGGAGGAGTCACACTGTGAGAATTTTCAGACACGGTCTGAATTTTGCTTCTTTGGTCTCCAAAGCTCCAAATCAGCTGTCGGTGGACATGTCTCACTGTGAGATCTAGGACCACCATTTTGGATCAGTGACTACAGACCTCTCAACATTTCTCACATGCATGTCAACGGACATCTCAGACAGGTCGAATCAAACAGTGTAAAGGGGCCTTAAGTCTAGTTGTTGTAGCAGCTCTAGAGGCTTCGTCCTACAACACGAAGGATATGTGGAATCATCATTATTAAAGGTCGTATTCCCTTGTGAGTGTAAATGTGATGATTTCATGGCAAACACAGCGCTGATTACTCTTGTGTACAACAGGAAATTGTGTCCTCATGATGACAACAGAATAAGCATTAGGAGTCATCCTCTGGATACCATGAATCTCCACAGCAAAATGAATGGCTATTTGACCAGAAGTTGTCAAGATATTTTTCTCTAGAACAAACGGACAGCCACGCCAACAAAATATTACCCTCTATTGTCACACTCTTAGCATGTCAAAAAACTCATATCCAAAGATTAAAAAAAAAATACATTTTAAGGAGTATTAAAGGTTATCTTCAAGACGCACCGCCTGTTCTCACAGCTGCAGTTAATAACTTGAACAGGCTTAATCTGAATATCAGAATCTTTACTTTCTGCCCCAACTTGATGGACGTTGTCAACAGCCACCAACGTTACCTAACCAGATTTTAAGGCAGCAACAAAGCCAGATGCTAACAGTGAAGAAAACAGTAGAAAGTGGTGAAGTGCAGAATCAGTTAAACATACATATGAAAAGAGTGACGACTTTCAGATTTTCTCACATCGCTGATCATACTGTGTGAGTACGACAGGCCTTTTGAGGACAACTTCAGTGATTCAGATCCGCTGACCTCATAGGTGGAGTGTACAGTGTTTGTGTGAGTGTGTTTGTGAGTCAGCATTAGGGGGCATCTGGAGGTTGCAGATAGACTGCTCTACTGAGACAGAAAGTGTGAGGGCGAAGCTCAGACACATTAATGTGTGTGTATAACCTGTGGTTCCTTGTACACTGAGGAGGGGGCCAGGAGCGTGTAGTGCATTACACAAGTAAGAAATCTCAATAAAAGGCTAATATTTAGTCACAGATCATCCAAATGAATGAATGAGGATGTTAGCAACCATCCTACATATTGGCAGCACTAAAATCTTGATTTGCATTATTTGTCATGATACTTCAATTAGCCTGTTATCACACTGCTGCACTTACATTTATTTTTGATACATCTGCCAATATCTATTCTTACTACAAATCTAGGAAATCATTAAATTTTAATTAAGCAGTTACCAGGGTGCCATCACAGCGTGGCCTACATTTCTAATGCTGTTGGTTTAGAATTTGTTGTGGCTGATCACACAGCTTACATCTTACACAGAGCTTACATCACACATTTTACAACAATGAAAAATGGATGGGTGGTTGTTTATGATGGTGCTGGAGCTGGACAGGTGCACCGAGACATGTCTGGGATTACAGACATTTACTGTTTCAGCACCCAAAGTGAGTTGTCTTCATGGATTTTCAAGCAGCTTTTCAAAATCTAGAGTTTTGACAGTACTAGCAGAGCTTTTATAAACATAAAGACAGAATAAAACGCAGGTGTTAAACTGGAATAATTATTTAATTCTCAGTAAGTTTAGAAATCTGTTTCAAAGTGGAAGCAGACAATAGATAAAATTCATTAAATTGCTGTCTTTCTTTGGACTACAAGGACAAAGCCTATGATTCCACATTATGTTGAATTTCACCAGCATGTATCTACAGAACATTCCAAATGGTAAAATGGCTGTAAAGATCTTGTTAAGTGCTGTGAATTGTAGTCTGTTGTTTGAGTGTGGGGATAAAATGAAAGAACAGGCCCTGTGTGATCCACTGGCAGACTTATAGCTGCAGCTGATCAACAAAAAGAAAAGAGGAGGAGGAGGAGGAGGAGGAGAGGGAGGAGGAGGGGGTGGGAGTGAGGAAACACCACTCATCAACATCCAGCCCCTCTGTTGCTTTTACCTTGATGGTTTCTCCTTCAATTTCTACCGCCTTCTCCCTGAAATCCACCCCGATGGTGGCTTCGGTCTTATCGGGGAAGCTTCCACCGGTGAAACGGAAGGTGAGGCAGGTCTTCCCCACGTTGGAGTCCCCTATGACTATGATCTTAAAGATCCGCGTCTGGATGCTCAGCTCCAGGGAGGAGGTGCTCAGATCCACGGAGGATGTGAAGCTCGGGGCGGCATCGTTGTTGCTGCTGGCTCGGCTCCGGCTGGCTCTGTGGAAATCCATGGAGGATGTCAGGATGGTGACATTGTCGTCCGCTCGGTTTCTTTGTGCGATTCCTCTCCCACCTCCTCCTCCTCCTCCTCCTCCGCCGCCGCCGCCGCCGCCGCCGCCCGGAGCTCGGGTCTCCTCCTCCGGAGAATCGTTGGTCATTGTACCGGAGGAGGCGATGCGCAAATCGGTGTGCGTGTGTGAAGAGGAGAAGGGGTGGACGGATGGATGGATGAGTGAAGGGAGGGGATAAGAGGAGGAAAGAAGGAGGAGACCAGAGGAGCAACAATACCAACGATGCTCTTTCAGCAGCTGACTGTGGCCTTAAAGGGAGAAGCATTAGAAAAGAGAGGAAAAGCAAAATTTATATTTTTATAGTTTTATTTTTCCTCTCTGAAAAGATTTGCAGTCTAAGATACCAAATAAATATCAAAAGAGTTATTTTATTGATACCAGGTGTTATAAGAGACAACAAATGACCTATAGAAATTAAAGTAAAATATTATTGTGACAGAGCGGAAGATCATAATGTAACATAAGTGCTACAAGATTACTACAAATTCACCAGTGTCTAGTCGTGCCGATACATAAATCTCTATATGAATATTACAGAAATATTAAAGGCCTAATAATAGCATTAAAACTTGGTAAACATGATAAGGTCACGACATGAGCACATTACTGAGTCCCACAGATACATAAGCAGCAGAAAGAAACCAAGTTGTGCCCTATTTTACTTGAGTATTTCAATTTGTGTTACTTCTCCACCACATGTTCTATTGTGACCCCTTACAAAAAGGTTTTCTTGTTATGGCCGGCCCCATGTGAGCGGTTCCATCCTTCACACATCTCAGATTCATTTCAATAACTCTTCCAGGCCGAAGAGGTAAAATTTTCCAGTATTTCACAGTAAAAGTAATAATATATAAGATATTTATGTAGAATATAAATAAATAAAAGTAAATACTGACATCCAAAACATGAATACTAATTTGTGTAGCTTCCTACCCCATTAATCACATCACGACCCCTCAGACCATTCTCCCTCATTTGTTTCTGTTTATTTTCTCTATACCATATACTTGGTGCAAAGCTGTGGTTCTTGACTGATGCTCCTGAAGCCTTTAAAATAATCCGCTAACATAATAAAATGTTCTGATATCAGATGATATACTGAAAAAATAAATTGTAGTTTGAAAATGTAAAGCAGTTGAAATACTGACAATAAATGCAAAGGGATGGTATCTATCAGTGAAACATTTTCTCCTGGGCTGTGACAGAGAGAGAAAGTGAAACAGATTTTCTCACACTAACAAGTCATGTGATCTGATCGGCTGGTCATATTATCACATTCCATAAACCAACATGGACGTAATGCAAAGGATTGCAGTGTTGCCAGATTCCAGGCCTGTTCAGTTCATTATCACTGACCTTTAAAAGAACCAACTTTGAAACCATTAGCCTACTCAGTAAACTTTGTTAAAATGACTGGAAGATACATAATGCTGTTTTACTTTATGCTTCCTTTTTTCCTTCTGAGATAATGTTCAAGCAGTTTCCCATATGATTTGTTACTGCACATCCATTGGGTTTTTTTTCCTACAACCAGCCATGTTTTGATGCAGAATTAACAGCACCTTTTCTGCCTGACGGACAGAGTGGGCTGCTGGTATAAGCAAACAAGAACAAGAGGAACAACCAGCACCGAGCTAACACAGACGCTTCCAAATATCTTATGTTGGTTTGCTCTGAGCAGGTATGAAACAGGACAGTTACAGCTGAGACTGGACAAAAATTATTCCTATAAATAATATGTAGTTTTCAAAAGCTCATTTTACAGTGCATCTGTTAAAACTGCATTGTTTGAATTGTAATGATTATTTCTGAGGGAAAGTTACAGAAAAGCCACCTTGGCTCTGATAGGCTGTCAATGTCTTGCTCAAAGGCACCTCAGCTAGGAAAACATTGAAGGGTGAACACATTGATGTTTACCACTAAAAACTTTGGAACTTTGAAAATTGAACTTTGAAAATTGAACTTTGAAAGTTGAACTTTGAAAGTTGACATTTGTTGCATTTGCAATTGTCTGAGGTTAAATAACTGAATTACAAGTTATTAACAGTGATAAAAGCGACAGAAAGTAATTTCATCTCCATCTTGTCGAAGACTACAGCCATCTGTGAGGCTTTAGCCTACTACTACCAGCTAAATGCTAACATCATTTTCACACATGCGTAAAACATATCGGGTTTCCACCACGGATCAGGTAGTGACAGTACACTTTGTTTACCAACTTCATCATTTTAGATTAGCATGTTAGCATGTTATCATTAGCTAATCGGCATTAGATATTAAATTCAGCTGAGGCTGGTAGGAATGTCATTAGATTTGTTGGTCAGAACCCAATGTATTGGACAAATTAACATTTTGACCTGATGATAGCACTTGATGAAAAGTCACAGGAGCACAAAGGTTTTAACAGGTCACCCCGAGGGGGGCATGAATGAATGTATCAGATCTCACTGCAATCCATCCAATAGTTGATGAGACAGTTCACTAAAAAACAGAAATGTTAAACCCAGTGATCACCTGACCAGAGGAAAAGTGAGAGGATTACCAAAGCCAAGAAGATTCATCCACTAGGGACCATGAATCTTCACAAACTTTATTAACAATCCATCCAGTCATTGTCATTTCAATCTGGACCAGAGTTGTTTACCAACCAACTGAAATTACCAAGATGCTGCAAGTGTGGCTAAAAATAATGCTACAACCATAGCAACAGACAGCTTTATTCCTATCTCACTATTAGCATGTTTCTCCCTGTGATCTCAATAGCATGTTTGCAGTTAGCTTCCACTCATTCAGTGGTATGTTCCAAACATTTTTGATTACGGCAGATATGTGAAATCAGACAGCGTTTTCATAATTCTTGTAAAGTTCAAAAAGATATCAGTTTTACTTACTGTACAAAACGTAGCCGTACAAGGTGCTGCCGGGTGTTTGAGCTGCTGTGCTTCCATTTTGACTAACAGCAACAGAAGAAACACACACACACTTGTGCACACAAACAGAATACACATGTACACACACTCCCTGTCTGTTGATATCAGACTGAAATACAGACAGAAAAAACCAACACTTGTCCCGTTTTCCCCCTCTAAGTCAATGTCTTTCCTGCACACACACACACACACACACACACACACACACACACACACACACACACACACACACACACACACACACACTCATTGTGTAGAACAATCCCTCATACACAGACACAATCTCTTCCTCACAGACATACACACTCTCTTTCTCAAAGAGACACACATAATCTCTTTCTCACACACACAGACAACAAACACACGCACACACACTCGCACTGTGTCGAACAATCCCAATGCTTGTGTCTGACAAAGCCCCCTTCTTCCTCTGTAAAAGACCTGTTTGTCTGGAGATGAATCTCAGTGGGACATTCACATTCTGGTGAACACAAACCAACAGTGAAATATAGCATATATACAGTATACACATTTGGATGCATGTAGATGGACCAAAATAATGTCCTGGTTTTACATTTTCATTCGTGGTTGCTTGGGATTTGGGCTGTCATGATGTTAGATTTTCACTACACGATTAAAATAATGATATTATTGCAATATCGATGGAAAATATTAATGTTCAGTCAAATTCACCTTTGACTTCGTTTATTGTGTATTTTCTCTCTTTTGACAATTGAATTAGACTCAAATACAAGTGCAGCTAATAAGTTATGATAGCTCCCACCATTTTGGACTCCAGCTCTCCAATACTTCAAAGGTCAGAACTGTCAGGACAGCTTTGTTAACAGTGTGAATTTGTGGGCTAAAGTTCATCAAGTTGATCAGTGTTGCAAAGATGTGCACAGAATTACTTCATTCTGTGAGCAAATCTGATCACAGGAAATCAATTTGAATGAGTTGATTTTTCCAAGAAATTTCACCACTTTAGATGTTGGTGTGACCTAAACACCTCAGCTAAGCTTCAAAGAAGCTCAATGTAAAATTTGTAAATCTGCATTCTGCCATCAAGCCATGCTTTGTTGTTTAGTAACTAAGTTACTTTAGTAAGTAAAAATGAGGCAATTTACAGATAAAAAAACAAACAATACATACAGTACCTGTATATTGTATTTTTACTCATAAATTATAAACTTACATGTTTTTTTATGTACATGTTTGTTTTGTATTGGTGTCTCTCACCTGTTTATAGCTGTTACCTCACAACCCAGTTATTGTGAGCTATTCCTTCGTACAATTACGAACATGAATACATGATATTGATACATACAGTAATTCATTTGTTGATATACCGTACACTGTGGAGCAGCAATGGGGTATTTGTATCCTCATAGAAAAGAGTCACTTCTCAGTATGTGTTCATATAATATGGCACTTCAGCACATGAGTAGAACATTTTATGACAGACCTACATGCAGGAATTATGCCACTCTACTCCTCATTACTGTCCGTTGATGAATTGGGAAATATTTGCTGTAAACTTAGCGGAGAGAGTCTCTCGTGTTTTATAGTGTGTATTTCGTTATACAGTTGAAATCACTGTAATTATACCAGAACACAAAACAACTATATGCATATAAGGGGTTCATATTACATTTAGATACATCAATCCCAAGAGAGAAGGGTCTGAAATGTTTCACTTGAAGAACAACACTTGCAATGTCATGTTAAATTAAATCTGTAGAGCAAAGTAAAATCTTTACAAACTATAATTTTATACAGACAACTATGGGGTAAGGCCTAAAATGCAAAGGTCTGAGCAGACAAAAAGGGCACTTTGTGGAGTGAAAATGCATTTTAAGGCTCAAAATGTAGAATTAAAAGACTTCTTTAACAGTTGCAAAAGGTAAATGTTCACTGTAAAGTCAATGGTTGAAGCTTCATTGTTCAGTGGAAACTGCTTTGCAAAGTATCTCAAACCACCTGTATTCAGGCAGCTTTTGAGTCTGTCTCTGGAGAGTCCTTATCATGGATAGTATATCAAAATCCTGAGGGAAGAATCCTCATCCAGTCTTAATTCTGCCATGAGATTTTCCCATTAAAGAGTAGTTGTAATGGTCACTTAGACTACTTGTAGGTATGTAGATTTGAAGTCTGTTCCGAGTGCGTTTTTCGCATTGCATTTGTAAATGCCAGAGTTCATGAGCACAGGGCTCTGTATGTACAGACTGCCCTCCTCTGTCATGTGGATCCCTCCCTGTACTGTGAACCGGTTATGTGGAAGCAGAGTTGTACGTCCAGGCAATGTCCATGAAATATCGGGCTTTGGAATACCAGTTGCAACACAATTTAATGTCACTGGCGATCCCCGGTTTACTCTTGTGATTGCGGTTAGCGTACTGGTGATGCGTGGTGGGAAAACCATCACTGCAACTGGGTAGGATAGTGTTGATGAACCAAAAGAGTTGAAGGCCTTACAGATGTATGTTCCTTTGTCAAAGGTGGCGACCTGCCGCAGTTGGAGGGTCCCATTGGCAAGGAAAGATACCCGGCCAATGGTTTGAGGTTTGTCTAAAACAAGGCCATTGGGTAGGGTCCACGTGATTGATGCCTGGGGCCAGCCATCAACAGTACAAGGCAAGTTGAGATTGAGGCCATAAGTGATCTTCATCCCACCTGGAAAAGTCAAATTTGAACATTAAATGGATTTCGTGTTAAAATGACAAATACAACAAAATATACAGCACAAGTGATATCGCACTGATTCTATATGATACTTTTAGGACATTTTCCTATTTAAATTGTTTCTGGTTTGTTGTCCCTCTTGGTATAATTTGTCTGGGCAGATCTGAACACTTAAATCATCCTCAGTTGTACACCAAAACAATCACATCAAGGTCTCTCTCTGGTCACAAATTCTGGAGTGGTTGGTTTCCTATCTGACCCAATCACAAGCTGTATTCTGCAAGTTTCAACTAAATGGCTCTTCCAGCCAATTGCACTTTGCATACTCGGATGCAGATGAGTGAAATCAGTCGTCATTAGCAGCTAATCAATGACTGGACAATAAATTGAGGTCTAATCTCGACTAACAACAAAGTTCATTGTCGTCTTGATATTTCGGCAGATAGGACGTTCTTTGGGAACTTGGGTTATTAGATTTGTGTGTGTGTGTGTGTGTGTGTGTGTGTGTGTGTGTGTGTGTGTGTGTGTGTGTGTGTGTGTGTGTGTGTGTGTGTGCGTGTGTGTGTGTGTGTGTGTGTGTGTGTGTATGTGTGTGTGTGTGTGTGAGAACAAACCAGAACAAGGGAAAAAGCAACAAGTTTACCAACCACTGATTTGGACTGTATGTTTGAAAATGCCCTTAGTTCTTTTATCTACCAAACTAGTCAGACTGCTACTTCATTCATTTGAGATGTAAAAACTTACCTGTAGTTCCTCTGATCACTGGCTTCCTGCCTGTCTCTAGTGCATAACGTTTTTCCGCTTGTCCTGCTACATTTTTCGCTAGGCACCGGTACACTCCCTTATCAGTTGCAACCGGTTGAGATATCCGTAGAGTTCCATTGCCCAAATGATGGGTGAAGCGTTGGAGTCTGACACCCGGCGTTAACATTGTCCCATTTGGTAGAACCCATGCAAACTCTGGGTGTGGCTTCCCACGAGCAGGACACTCCAGGATCAATTCCCTGCCATCTTGCTTTATTGGTAAGATTTCAATATTGGGAACAGCAAAGCTAGGTTTCTCAGCTAGTGATGCCACATCTAATTCAACCAAAAGTGAGGCTTCACCCAGGTGGTTTTTAGCAAGACACATGTATCTCCCTTCATCTGTTTTCCTCACGCCTCGCAGCTCCAAACTCCCATTTCGGTGGACTTGGAAGCGACCGCCAAGATAGGGTGTTGTGAGTGAGTGGCCATAAGGAGTAACCCACCAGACTCTTGGTTCGGGTTTTCCTTCCACTCTGCAATCCAGAAGCACAGTTTGGTAGGAAACACCCAAAACTTTTGTGGTACTCTTCCCTTTCATGCTATTGATAAAGGGTTCCTGGGGTTCAACTTCAAGTTTCACGTTTTTAACGTCATCACCAGCAGAATTTCGTGCCACACATGCATATTTCCCTTCATCAGCAAGTGTTACCTTTTTCACCACTAATGTCCCATCATCCATAACCTGAAATCTATCTGATGATACTGGTATCACATCATTTCGTGGTGAGATCCATGTGATTCTTGGTATAGGATCACCTGTTGCTTGACAGCTTGATTTAGCAGATTCTCCCAACTTCACTGTCATTAAAGATTGTGATTTTGATCTAATCTTTGGAGCATTTGGTCCCACTTTGACGTTGACCTTTCTTTCATCTTTGCCCAGTTTGTTCTTGGCATAGCAAGTGTAGTCACCCTCATCTTTTTTACCCATCTGCTGGAGAAGTAAAGTTCCATTGCCAAAGATAACGTAGCGGCGGTTTCGAAGGCCGCTGTCATCTGATTGAAGGGCGTTGTTGATTAAAGTTCCATCTGGAAGACTCCAGGAAACTTCTGGATCAGGGAGGCCTGTTGCAACACAGTCCACCTGAAAGGAAAGGAAAGGAAAGGAGGGAGAATGAGAGGAAAAGGTAGGAAAAATTTGTGTGAAATATGAATCTAGAACTATATTCAATTAAAGATCTTATTGGTTAGCAGCTTTTTTTTTATTATTAAAATTACAGATCTTTAAAATAAACAAGCTCATTTTCTGAGCACAGGAGAGTTAGGCTTCACATTAAGAATAAAAACAACTGACTTAATAGAATCCTCTGAGGGTTTTGAAAAGCTCTGATTAAACCCAATGTACACAACCTGGCACCAAACAGCAGAGGGAGACACCGTTAGCAGAAGGGTGGTAGAACATTTAGCTGCTATTAAGTTTTCTGGCTGTGTGAATAGGTAACTGCTCACGTTTGCCATATCAACTTTACGAGGTGTCAGTATGTCATGTATGTTGTGTTTACAGCTTATTCTGCTGACACCAAGAGGCAGAAAAAAATCTAATGACACTGCTTTAAGATGCTTTTGGGAAATAAGACACTGGTGTGTTATTATAAGAAGAAATGTGGTCGTAAGCATAAAATAATAAAAAGGCGATATACTATATATATATATATATATATATATATAATATATATATATATATATATATATATAGAAATATACAAGAAAACTCCAGGTGCATATTAAAAAGTGCCCATAATATTTGATCCTGCCTATCCTACTTTAAATTAGCTTTGAGCTAGCTCCTCATAGCTACCTGGAAATTTTCTCCAAAAGTGACCCTGGTCTGTGCAGTCCTCACATGTTCGATTCTGGGAGCAGTCATCAACACCTCCACCTGATAGAGCAAATACATTAAGACCTTTTCATGTGAAAGAAAATTTCAGTGAAAACTTCAGTCAGGCATCAGCCAGGTATTGATCACTGAGTGATCTTTTGCCAGAGCATATATAGCAAAATAAAAGTCCTTTCATTAACTGTATGGGCAAGGCCCTTCTGAATCCTGAAGGAATCAGCATGCAAATAAATGTAAGACTTAACAATATTGACTTTGATAGTCATTAAAGATTCCTAATGAACAAAAACTTTTCTCAGCCAAAAATTAAATGTCGACTAATGGAAAAGAGTTGGCAGTAAAATGAACCCGCCGCCAAGTCGTCATCTCTCCTGTTCATACCTGGAAGAGCTCCATGTCCTCCCCATTGGGCCGCTGAAAGACACACAGATAATTTCCACCATCTAGCTCTGTTAGCTGAAGAATCCTCAGAGTCCCATTACGGAAAACTTTAATTGGTCTCTCTGGACTGCAGGCAGATGGGCGAGAAAATGAGGTTGAGAATAATACAGTCAGTCAAGTTTAATGGCACCTTCAACCTTTTAATGCAAGTATAGTTTTCCCAGTACTGTACTGGTTCGTGGAATTACAAAAGGAGGTATTTCAGTTACCTGTATCGATGCTCCATGATGGTCTTCGAGGGCAGCTGCCAGATGGTCCCTCTAGTGGATCCAGTAGACTCTGGACAGTGGAGGTAGACAGCAGAACCATACATAGCGGAGACAGAGTGTTGGCGGGATGGCACAGCATGGTGAGGGGTTGGAGGAATGGGAAGAGGAGCAGGAGGAGGCTGGCGGGAGAAGGAGGGAGAATCTGCCCTCACCTCCAGCTGGACAGTTCTTTTGGCGATTCCCACAGTGTTAGTGGCCAAACACTCGTACCTTTGAAAAGATTGATTGCAACCTGGTGGTGAAGTCACAGCTCACGAGCTCAGGCACAGAAAAGCATTTTCAACAGCTTGATAATTTTGAGTTGAATTTTAAATTTGTATTGCTTGGAGCACAAACACAGTACTTTGCCTGATGATACACAACTTCTAACTTTACATACAATATAAAACACCTTTCCTGCCAAAATTGTGAGTTTAATGTGTTAATGCACTTCAGCAGAGACAGAAGTGCTTGTCAGATTGTTGACTCAAAAAAATGTAGGATTGCAAGCCATCATCCAACAAAAAGTGCAACCCAAAATTGCTATCATACCAAAATATGACACAGCGGTATACTAAAAAATTAAAAGAAATGTGATTTTTAAAATCACAGCTCTGACATGACTGCATTGCCTGTATTTTGGTTTATTTTTCATATTTTTGGTTTGCATTTCATAGTTTTTCAATGCGCTTCTCAGTTTTTATTTGTGCATCTCAGTTTCTCTGAGCGTGTTCATTAGAGTAAATGGACAAAGGATCCTGTGGTGGGGATTCTGTGTAGTGTGGCTCTGTTGTTCATCTATTAGTCTGATAAAATGTCAACCGTGTCCTGCCAGGAGCTCTGGAAAGAGACCACAGAATTCCGATGCTATCAGCATTTGGGCAGTAGCACTACCTAAAGGTGCAAATTAAAGTAATTTCCACTGTCACTTTTCATCAGTGATTTATGAAACCTTACTGCTGACAACGGATAACTGTTTGGAAAATATGTTACGACATCTACAGTTACCGGAATTTATTGTAAACAAATGTTAGAAAGCTTGAGGAAAAGTCAGGGGATCACCAAAGTCATCAGGATCAGGAGCATCTGAATGTCTGTACCAGATTCCATTGGAAACCATCCAGTAGTTGTCGAGATAGTTCAGTCTGGATAGGAGTGGTGGATCAACTGACATTGCCATGATAATGGTGACGTGCATCCCTTATTCAACCAGACATTGAACTACCACATACAGACAGATAGAATCATATTAATATAGACTAAAAGAAATGCATACCTCCCACCATCAGATGGCGAAATATTCTTCACAAGCAGTGTCCCATTAGGGAAGACAAACAGCCTGCGTCCCAGGAACTGTGATGGCTTGACATGGACGCCTGACGGGAGCATCCATTTCAGAGCAGGCACTGGTTCGCCTTTCACAGAACAGTGGATATACACACTCCTGCCTGGTGAGATGGGATTTTATTAGTCTAGGATATGTGCTTTGACATAGTAAACATTTTCTTGTCTTCGTTTAACAACCATTCATGAGGAAAAGTTTTAATTAACTGAATTAATCAATTGATGAATTGAAATTTCTGTACCATACCTGGCTGAATGAGCACAGTATCCGCTGCTCCTTCACTGATGCTTGGAGGTAGAGCTGCCACGTGGAGATGATAAGTAATTGTATCAGCACCTGCTGCATTACTTGCTATACATTTATAGTCCCCTTTGTTAGAGAAATTGGCAGAATTAATTTGCAGGGTTCCATTTTGAAGCAGAGACATTGGAGAGAGGAGAGTGTGAACAGTCCCAACTTCACGAACAAACGTCCTGTCCGGAAGAATCCAGGAAATCTGGGCTGGTGGTTTTCCAGAGGCGAGGCAGTCAAGAGTCATACTTTTCCCTAAGTAAACTGCTATGTCTGTGGACATTGGTGGTTGGATCTTGGGTGCCTCAGTCTGGACAGCTAGGGTGGTGACCATGCGATCGGATCCAAACCTGTTCTGGGCTGTGCAGAGGTACTGGCCTCGATCCTGAAGCTGGATGTTTTTAATAACAAAAGTTCCATTCTTGAAAACTTCAAAACGAGGACCATGCTTGGTGTTGGCTGGGATGGTGGCCCCTGAAAAGGTAACAGAAAGGTAAAACCTTTGGTGTCCACCATTGAGTATGAAAAAGACATAACAGTTGACAGATCTGACCCAGGTGCCAATAAAAATGAGCTGAAAGCAAAACATACACTGCGTCAATCTTTTCATCTCTTTTTCTCTTACCTGTGGAGACTTTGGTCCATGCAATTGTAGGTTCAGGATTCCCCGTTGCTTTGCAGGGCAGGAAGACATCACTCTCTGCGAGCACCGACACACTAGCTGTAGCAACTGTGGTGATCCGCGGCTTCATCCCACTACTTCCAGCTCCCAACACCCATGGGAAAGGTGGGGCAGCTGTGGGCCGCCGAGAGCTGATTCGTCCTGCTACAAAATTGGAAAAATTCAAATAATAAAAATAATATCAATATTACTGAATATACAGTACATATCGAGTACATACCGTATATCTGACACCTACCTTCGACAGGCCAACGACCTCCATGCAGAACCCCGGGGGTGGTGGGGAGGTAAGGGCGAGGGGTTGGGATGAAACCAGAGAATGATGACAATGACGGCTTAGCAAGGTTTGGAGGTTGCACGTTGTAAGTGTAAGAATCAGCAGCTACTGGTGGTTTGGGGGTGTAGGGTCTATGCAGGGACGGGAGGTTGGTTTTAGGTGTGATGGGGGATGGGGGATTGTTGTAGCCTGTGCGGGGTTTTGGTGTCACCATCCTCCCTAGCTGAGCGATTCGATCGAGCTGCGCCTAGAAAAGTCAAAATCGAAATGATCAATAAATAGTTTTAACCTATTTACCTGGCATTAAATCCCACCTCTGAGAGCTGATGCATCATCAATTGTATTGCTCAAAGAGCAAAAAGAGGCTAAATGCTCTTTAGGCTATCGAGTTGGGTGATAAAACTGTGGGTTTATTGCTACGAACAGCCCCTTTAAACATTGTCATTGTTGAGCCATTGTTAATCTACAAACTATTAATTTGGTTACTGCAGCATTTCAACCTTAATTAGGATAAGAATCCAACTTTTTTAATAGACAACAAAGTAAATATACCAAAGAAACATGAATTTGAATTTGAATTTGAAGAGGGCATCAGTTTTTTTCCTCACTTTGCCATGAATGACACCACCCTCTGCTACACCTAGTGATCATTTACTATTCCTAATTCAGCCCTTCGATTGATAGTTCTCGTAAAGCACTTACCTGTCTGTATCTGTTCCTCAGCCTTGATAGAAACAGCTGATCTCTGGTTTGGGTCCTGCCACCCATGTGATGATTTTGATGATTATGATGTGACAGGTGGGGATTACTGAATATGGGGTTTCTTATCGTTCCAGAAGGCGTAGATGTGGGCTTGACTGTTTCAGCTGTGATTTCTGGTCTGTTGGTGATGACTGGGCCTTGAGCCCAGGGGTGGGGGAGAGGCCAGGGTCTATGGGTGGGCACAGGGTGTGATCCAGGACCTAGAAACCAAGAGCAAAGATTTGAATAAATACATATCCATGCATGCCAAACATGGTTTGTACATATCATAACATAACACCAAGCTTTTGGCTTTTTTGGTATATTACAGTCAATATAATAGTCTTGTTCATTATTATTTATCTATACACTTTGTTCCAATCTTTTTTATTTCAAAACAGCATTTAATAAGGAAATCGTTACACAGCAATCATATTTACCTTGCCTTGGATGAGGAAATGACCTTTGACCTGGCAAGGAAGGATAGAGGGGGTAGTAATGATGATGGTGGTGTGAGGGCCAGCGGGAGGTTGGGGCAACTCTGGGAGGCTGAGAATGTCTGCCTGGATTCACGTTGCCCTGTCTTCCTGGATTTCTATCTTGATTTGTGTGTGTCGTCCAGGAAGTGGTGGTTTGCCCTTTCCCCTGGTTGTTCTGATGGAGCCAGGGGTGAATTGGCTCCATTATTGGGAAACTGTGGATCTCAGGCTTTACTCGTGGCTTGTTTACCTCTTTACCTTCACTCTGTGTGACTTCCTCTCTTGTTCTCCCTCCGGTTGAATGTGAAGTAATGACCTTAGAAGTGGAAGCTCTTGTTTGGGTTGGTGTATTTTGCTCTGGTGAAGGTCGAGTGTTAAGTCTTGGTCTATTTTGTGTTGTTAATTGGATGCTATCCCGTGTATTGTAGCTCTGTGTAACCCACTCCTTTTCAGATTTTTCTGTGTCTCTCTCCCTCCCGTCTTTATCTGTTTTGTGTTTTTCTTGCCGTTCACTTGCTGTTATTACCCCACTCTGACTCTCTCCTGAAGGATTTTTATTGTGTCTGCCCTTTTCTTCAGTTTGTGTTCTGACCTCAACTGTCTGTCCTTCAGATTTCTCGAGGTCGACAGTGTATTTCTCCTGTTCATCAACAGTCCTTTCAGTTGGACGAGGGGTACTATCTGTCTTTGGAGTGACAATTGTCTTTGGATTAGGTAAATTATGTCCACCTGGAGAGCTACCTACATGTGGAACTTTTTCTATAACTGATGGAAATGTGGTAGGGCTACTGTCAAAAGTGGAATGAAGAGTTTCATTGTTTAAATCTTCCTTGGTATCCAAACTATCACTATCCTTGTAATTATATTCTTCATAATATTCACCTTCCTCTTCCTCTGGCTTATACTCGACACTCAACTCATCATTTTCCACTGTGGTTGGAACAGGTGTTGTAGTAGTAGTGGTGGTAGTAGTAGTGGTTGTGGTCATCGTTGTTGTTGGTTGTGTGGTGGTTGTTGTTGTTGGGGGAACAGTTGTTTGGGGCTTGTTTAATGGATGGTAGAAGGGGTTTAAGTGTGGATGGACTCTTCTCAGCGGGGGTTTTCTGCGTCTATAAGGGGGCCTTCTCCTGTTTGGCCGACCAGGAACAAGGTTTTGGTTCCTTCTCCCCTCTCCAAAATGCTTATTTTCAGACTGATCAACTGGTTGGGGGGTTCCAATAGCAGGAGATTCTGTGATAGATTTAGGTTTTTCTGTACTCCCAACAACATGGTCTAGGGATGGTTCCATAATTCTTGGAGGTTCTGGGTGTAAAACATGTGGGAGACTTTCTGATATTTCAGAGTCTTTACCAATATTTTCTTTTTTGTCTTTCTTTGAATGGGCCTCTGACTTAACTCTTGTGTTCATGGCGAAATTTGTCGGCTTTATTGTAATTTCAAGAGAGGTAGTAGTATGAGGTAAGTTGTTAGTAATAGTAGCAATTGTAGTGGGAGTTGTTGTAGTAGGTTTGAGTGTACTTGTTTGGATTGTTACAGTACTGGGCTCCTCTAGTGACTGCTCTGTGGGCAGAGCAACACTTGGTTTAGAATTAGCTTTAGCCAATATCTCTGCCCAACGATTTGGATCTAATTCCTTAACAGATTTATTGGGTTTTCTTTTTGAATCTTTAATTCTTATCCTTTTCGAAAACCCATTGGGGTTCCTTTGCTGTGTTCCTACCCTCCTAGGAAACTGAGTTGCAAAAGGACGTTTAATTTCCTGGTAATCTCCCCCTGAACCCTCTCCTTCCTCCACGCTAGAAGGTAAGAGCTGCTTCTCTCTCTCTGTCTGTACTTTAGACCTATCAGAGGCCTTTTCTTCTGTGACTTCCACCATGTGTGATAGCATGTCAACTCCATACAAATTTGAGGCTAAGCAGCTGTACTCCCCTGCATCTTCTTGTGACAACTTCCTTACTACCAAAGTCCCATTTTCCATCACTTCTGCTCGTCTTGTTTGTTGTGTGGGGAGTAGAATTTGATTTTTGGGCAGGTACCACATAGTTTGACTTGGCTGAACTGAGGTCACGTCACAAGAAAGAGCTAATGAGCGTCCCTTCTCAACTACAATTTTCTGACCATTGAAAGCAGTGGGGCTAAGTGAGAGTTCTTTAATGGTGAGCCTCAATGGCATCAAATCCACACCAGCTTTTGTTCTGACCATACAGTGGTAGAGGCCTGAATCAGACAGTGTGGCATTTAAAATCACAAGGTCTCCTCTTTCTGAAATTTCTGTTTTATCATTTGCTTCCTCCACAATGGACAAATCTGGAAGCATCCACTCCACTTTCACTTCCGGATTTGAAGTGACGACACTGCACTCCAAGCGAACCTTTGAACCCTCAAGAGCTGTCTGAATTCGCCCCGCTGTCCCTCTGTGAATCAGTGCCCAGGAAAAAGCAGAGTCATTGTCATCTTCCTGCCCTCTATGACTGCTGACGTGCTTGGTAATTAAAGTAGTGAAATCCATCACCAGTTTCTTAGTTGTTGTCTGCTGTCTGTTGAGCCTCAAAGTGACTCTTGGTTGCAGTAGCCATGAGGGTTCTGCGACCAAATGCCCTTTTAGTTCTGTAAAATATGGGGAATTTTCATTTACAGCTTGGGTATACTGATAGGTCACTCTGCTTGCATTTCCTCTCTGTTGACCTCTCTCCAAGATAGCAGGGCTTTCATAGTAATATGCAACCAGCTGCCATAGATTTTGCAACGTCTCCCGATCAATCTCACACTCAAGGACAGTCACCAGCGAAACATTGACAGATAACTCCGCAGGTGAATGTGAATTTACAGTCCAAGTCATAGGTGAACTGTCTCCAGGGTGACGCACATCACATGCTACATGAGCATGGTTTCCATGGCTGTCAGAGAGAACAAAGGTCAGGTGGCCCAAAGGTTTTTCAAAGTCCCGGGTATATGGAAGGTCAGGCTCTGCTTCAGATTCAGCCCACACCGGATTGTCCCATTGTTTGAGGGGGGAGCGAAGAGCTGGTCGTTCACAGCTCAGCTTGTCCAGAGTTAACCCTAACAAGAGGGTGGCATTCAGGGGTTGAGGAGAGGAGCACTGGGGGCAAGTCTCACTGGAGCCACGTTCCTTCTTGCACTTTATTACACCTGGGAGAAAGAGGGGCAGAGGGGAAGACAGGGAGAGATAAAAAAGGCAGCAGGAGAAGGAATGATGGAAACAATTCAAGGAATTGGAGGGGAAAATGAAGGAGGAGAAAGGGTAAGAAGGCAAAGGCAGTGAGGGAGAGGTAAGTAAAAACAGAGTATGGGAAAGAAAGAAAGAAAGAAAGAAAGAAAGAAAGAAAGAAAGAAAGAAAGAAAGAAAGAAAGAAAGAAACATAGCAAATGGGAAAAGAAGGGGGGAAAGATGAAAAATAAAACATGAATCGGGGTGAAATTTTATCTCTTTGTGATTTTCAAGGTCAAAGTTCATGCATCTACTAATACAGTTCTGGCAGTCACATACTCCCGTTTTCAAACAAAACAGGGAATAAACATAATGATGTATCATCAACTTCTGTGCTGATACAAACAGCTATCATATGGGACTGGTTAAAAATGATTGGTGAAAATGTCACAAAACAGTGAATGAAAGCATGTGTGTCATGAACAGTACTGGATGGAAAGAAGGGTAACGAAAAAGTATTTAATCAACCTTGTAGTTTACATATGGAGCAAATGCAGTCAATTTAATGAGAGTGGCTGTGTCTTTCATATGCTTTGCAGAAGCTGGATGGCAGGCATATTATCCCTATGTTCAGCTTCAGGTAAAAACACTATTTTTACATTTATGTGTATGTTTTGAAAATATAGGGAGATGTTAAAGCCAATTATAAAGTTATCATTTCCTGCCCTTAGATAAGTAATGCAATTATAATAACAATGTGTGTATGAAATTATGTGTAAAAAAAATGTGACAATGTTAAAGAGGTCACTCATCGAATCAGCAGCTTGAGTTGTCATCTTTACGGGTCAGCCACTAGCTAATGAACAAAGGAGCATTTAACAGCTGAAGACCCAGATGTTTCACTCACAGACCCAATGTGTTAACAGGCAATGGATGATGTTTGTGAAGTGATTATATGTTCATGTTGTGTTTCCACTTCCCCTAAGGGGCCAAAAAATCAATTCGGGCACCTTATAATTTTACATTCCTCTCATACAAACCTTTACATAGTCATTAAGTTGTTTGTTGTCTGGTTTAGATAAAACTTTTTGGCACCACAGAAATGAAGAAGTAAGGAATACTGTCAAATTTCAGTTCTAATGTGAGAAAATAAGTTTAGAGAACTCCTTCATGTCTCCTTACCTTCATGTTTGGAACTCCATTCAACCAGCCACTGAAGTTGACAGTCACAGGTCCAGGGATTACCATGAAGAGAGAGAAGCTCCAGCCTGGGAGCAGTCCTCAGTGCTGCTGGAGGGAGCTGCTCCAATAGATTGTCTGACAGGTGTAAGTGTCTGAGACAAAAACATTATATGATTTTCTTCATTTATTGGTCTGCAGAGTGACAGGGGATGGGGCCTATCTTTGCATGCAGTGAGCAGAATTGTAGGGAAACAAGTTCAACAAGCAATTTGGGGTCTACCAGACCCACATGTTTCTAAGTAACTACTTTCTATGACCTAAAATATTTCAAAAAGGTTGTTTCAATTTTCCATAAATAAGAGAAATATTCACTGTTGTTTGGTTTCTTACTTGAGTCCAGAGGTCCAAAAGCTTCCTAGTAGTGACACTGTGATGAAGGTATGAGGATGGATCTCTTTGAGGAGGTTCCCCTCCAGCTGCAGGAGTTTTAGGGAGGTCAGGCCAGAAAAAGAGTATGGCTCTATAAAGTCTAAAAGGTTATGGTCCAGATGGAGACGGATCAAACCAACAAGACCATCAAACAGACCAGCGTTTAGTGATGTTAGCTTGTTGTAACTCAGCTTCAAGATCTGGAAACAAGAGAATTCGTGTTATACTCACATTTACTGAATATCAAAACTCTTTTGAGCAGTTATTACATTAGGAGACAGAAGGACTTAAACTGAGAAGCACAACCCTAGCACACAATTGGCTTCAACAGAAAAGAGAATCCCATCCTAATTATGAGATGAGAGTTCTTTGGAAACAACTGTTCCTCCAAAAATTCAAGTACTCAACCCAACCCAAATGGAGTCTTGGATGTTCCAGAGTGCCTTGTTTTCAGTTCTGGTGTATTGGCATGGATCTTTGGTCTGTTTAAAATGCAATTTTAGGTTCTGATTGGACACATCTGGACCCAACAAAACTCATTGCATTTTTTTTATCAAGCAATCAAAGTGCAACTAATTACTGGCTTAAATGTGGTTTAGGAGGGGGCAGATTGGATTTGGCTGTTTGCACATACACTGTGTGTTCCTCTGCTGTTAGCAAGTCCCAGTGTGATTCACTTCTTTTATATGTGACTTCACACATATCATTTTGTCTTTGTTGTGTGTATCTCTTCCATAGAAGAAACGAATGTCATACTTAGAAAAAGAAATATCATCTTACTTAAGTAATGCAAAAGGGACTTTGGCATTGACATTTAGTGTCGTGTTATGGCCTTATAAGAAACACTCTAAGAGGTTTGACACAAATTGAAGACAGCCCATCATCAATCATAAGTATTTAACCACATACTCTTGAGATCTGTTGGAACTACTGGACTTCAACAGAATCTACAAAAGACCATGACTTTTTGCCCAATTAATTCAGTCCCAGGTGCACTTGCTCTCAGGTACATTTCAGTTTAGGTCCAAGGTTTAGTAGCGTTCAAAGTGAAACAAGCACCTGAGCTCTCAGTCAGGAGAAAGCTGAGTTCAGAGGTTATATATGAAATTGTTCCCGTGTTTCTTCTCCACCTTTACACATGCAAACTAGTTAAGAATTAGGTGGCACATTAAGAATAGTTAAATATTGGTACTTTAAGATACCTGGACACGCACAGTCACACATACACTACCTGTAATGATCTTAGGCTGTAAAACGCCCTAGGGTGGACTGTGTTAATGTCGTTGCCATGCAACATGAGCATTTCCAGTTGCCGTAGTGACCTGAATTCTGACCCCTCCACCTCCGTCAGGCTGTTATAACTGTTAGAAAAGAGAAAATAAACAGGACCAGTTACAAGGATGAAAGGGTAACAGGAGGTCATTGGGGGTTAGTGGGAAAGTAGGCTAAAATTAGTTAGCAGTCAGTGCTTGCAAGTGTGTCTGGGTAGATTTAACCTTTCAAATGAAGGGAAAAAGATAGGTGGAAGGAATGATGAATGGAAAGAAGTAATTAAAGAGGAATGACAGAGACCTCAGTCAACCTTTGAGCCCCCAATGATTTCCTCATTCTTAAAAGTTCACCACATGGAGGACAGAGGAAACACAGTCTTCTTGGATGGCACCACTATACAGTAGGCAATGGCCCAGCATACGTCTAAAAATTTAGTATAGACAGGGGCTTTTTATATCACTTTTACCCTCTTATAAACTACAACAATGTAACACTTTAAAGCAGCAGGGGTCCGTGTGAACAGGGCCCTGGTAATTGTATTAGCATTATTATAGCCACAGTCAAAATACAAGGAGTTAGTGAAAAACCTCTCTTGGAGTTTTCAGGTTTCAACAGACATCCCCCTCCAGAGTCAAACTGATTGCCAAGTACAGTATAGATCAGTAGATGCCTGAGCCAGACACATTATTCATCAAAGGAATAGAGTCTACAACAGAGGACACAATCTGTTGGCAGGGGCCGAGGGTGCGGTACATATTTAAGTGTATGAGAGCTACTCAGGCCTTCCAACAACAGGAATCAGCAGAGTATGTCTAACAGTCGACTATCCTGTAGTGAGTTCCTGAACTGTAAAACACGCAACATTCCCTGGGTGCAGTTATCCCTACCCAATTGAACACATATGGGATATACTGGAGTTTGCGTTTTTCCACTGCCTTCAATAAAACAGCCAGCTCACAATATATCATCTAGTGGTCACTTTCATCCAGAGTGTCTTTCGGTGCCATGAATGCACATATTTTTAGTGTAGGTTTCCCCATTGGGAACTGAACTTTGAACCCAGGCAGTGTTCGTGCTTTGCTTTTATACCGTAACGAAAGCTGCTGCATTCCTCCCTTATATGGGAGTTCAAGGCATTCGCATAACAAATTTCAAGTCAGACTGAGGGTAGTCTAAAACTCGACAGTCACCTCACCAAGACACGTTTGATTTGTATTTAGTTGAAATAATGAAATCATCTAAAACCAAGACTTTCAACTCTCCTCTGACCCCAATAAATTGAAAATCTCAAAGGTTGGATGCAAGGCATTAAATCGGCTATAGAAGGGATTTTTCATGTCCATGCACTGATAAAGGGTCATGCTAACACTGGACAATGTGACAGAGTGGACTTGCCAACTAAAGCGCTCAGTTAGCTTGAAACAAACTATGTCGTATGAAGTGTTGTCCAACTGCTGATCATATTTGTCATATCATTTTTTGAAAAGTTACAAAAATAGTGGGTGCATCTGAGCTGTAACTAAGAATTATTTTAATAATCCATTAATGTGCTGATTATTTTGTCGATTCATCAATTAGTTTGGTTGTTTGGTCTATAAAACATTAGAAAACAATAAAAAATACAGATCAAAGTTTAGACAAGGTAAAGCAGCAAATCATCACATCTGAGAAGCTAGAACCATCAAATATGGGGCTTAAAAATGAGATGTGACAAATTGTTTATCAAAATAGTTGCAGATAAATTTTCTGTTGTTCAACTAATCAATCAATTAATCAACTCATTGTTGCAGCAACCCGAGCCAGGCGTTGAAAGATGTGGGGAAGGGGTTTCGAATGTTTCAATCCCACAAATCCCTTCATTTCGTCATTGCAGTGCCCTGAAGCCTTAAGGTACGACTTTCTATGTAGATTGTAAGGTTTGGCACTGGCCAAAAACACATGAACCAAACCTTGCAACTAGAAATGCATCCCTAATTGGACAGTCTTGATATCTTTTGATCTGTTAGAGATCTCTGGTAAGCCCAGTAAAAGGCAGACGGACTTGTCTATGCTCTTTTTCATATTTTTTCATGAACACATGGAGAAATTATTGAAACCCTATTGAAGCCTCACTGTCACTATGCCAAACTCTCTAAGTTGGCTATATGTCAACAGTCATCTCCTCACAACCCAAAGTCCTTGTGTTTCGGGGATTGTGTTACTGTAGGTGGTCCATACCATCCTCCATGCCACTCACTGATCAATCAGCACAAGAGTTCCTTTGAAAGAGGATGGAAACTTGCATTTATTAAAGTGGTTTTCTTTTGAATTCAAACAGCACTGCTCTAAACCCAAACTAAAGGGAAACAGGCCCCAGAGTGTAAATAAGACACTCCAAACATGCCTGGTGTGAACATATACCAAAAGCTTTGCATTAGAGACGAAATCCCCCTGGTCTGCTCCCCAGTTAGCAGGGTGGTCTAATGTTTAGACCGTAAGGTCCCTAAAGGTTTGGTTACTCTCCAAATGTCTGCTCCACATATGAGAAACTACAACAGACTGCAACATCAGTGTGTTCATTTTTAGCAAATGACTGTTTGCCAAGCCCCGCCTCCTTTACGTACTATTGACATTGATGGATTTACCAATCTTTTTATTCTGAATGTTGCAAAATACAGTAGTGCTTCATTTCAGATTGAGGTCGGCAAAATGAGTCTTTCGATGACATTTGCCAACTGAAATAAAAACTATCACAGGTAGATTTCTTTCAACTGAAACTAGCCAGTTAAATAAGCTAACGTTAGCTAAAACGCTATCATCAGCTGGCTTTTTAATATGTCCACCTGACTAACTCTAAAATTATAATTCTGTAAAAGTGCCTTAAATATGAATTTGTCAGCCACATACATGATATAATCCCAGGCAAAAAGTCTGTATCCTCACCAGTTTGTGATAAAGAAAACAAAGAAACAGTATTGTTCTTGTATTGTGGTGTCGACCTAGTTACAATGAGGAAAAAAAGTTCTTGCATGTCCAAGTATGTAAGCTTAGCAACCAAACAGTATTATAATGAAATACAAGACAGCGGTTACATTTATGCATATGCATATCGGTAACACATTTGGCGGTTGTTGCTGGAATGTAAACTTTCCCTCTGTAAGCCAGAGACATGGAATCAGCCTCTTACTTAATGTTGCTGCCATGTGAAAATCATATAGTCTTTTTGTTTGCTATTTCATGCATCCACTGTGATATATTATATTCCTTTCCTCTGTTTATGTGTACTGTATGTGTTTTAGGGGTTTTCCCACCATGCAACATGTCTTTATAATGGTTAAAGACAGATCCATGAAGCAAAGATCAGAACGTTCTATTGTTGTAGGTATCTGTTACTTAATTCAATTTGACCTGAAGGGGGTGGTGTAATTTAATATGAATATCACGCTTTCTGTTGCTAAACTATTCTCCACATAATCCCTGCAGTGTAACGCTGGTTGTATAAAGCAGCATTATTTGGAATGCACTGATATCTGTTCCCACAGCACAGGAGCACATATGGAGACAGTTTATCTCCTGCGGACTGAACTAAAGCGTGGCACCACATAGTACCCACTTTGCGACCATTTACTTAATGAAATGCTTTATCACATCAAAGCATTATATTCAGTAGTAAAGAGTTGAGAAGCTACACTCAGCATTAAAGTAATGCACCTGAAATGCAGCGATCGCCGTTCCAGCAATAGACTCTCACATGCAAATGGGAAACCTAGTGCGAACAATAGTGTAGCTCTGGCTGCTGCTTGCCAAGTAGTTTCTTATATTCAGAACAGAGGCTGGGCTATTTCTCTGCCGTGCTGGAGGGCAGTGAAAGCTCCATCCACTATACAAAGACCCACATGGAAGTGATTAGGAGATTTATTCCCTCCGGAGTCAGTTTAGTACCACACGCCACATGCTGGTGCTAAGGCCTTATCTTCTGGGTTTAAAGCAGGTTTAGTCAAATTAACTGCACCACAGGCTACATACAGATTATCGCACTGATGAGCCTGTTCTCTTTGGTATGAAAAGGTTTCTTTTGTTCTTAAGGCAGGTTGACATGATAAACTGATGCCAAGCAGCAATATGTTTTCATTATCCCACCTCTTGAGGCAAGAGAGTCATTCCTCTAGAGGATCCGTGGTATTAAAAAATTATGTGATAAGCTATCTCATCAACCAAAAACCACTTGCCTTAGCATTTTGGTCTGTGAGTTATTTGAGGCAGTGTTGATAATATGTTAGTTAAAGAAAACATTTCCCTGTCAAATAACCTACTCCACATTCCACACTATTTCCTGTGAAGTGTTTTGTTTTCTTCCCCTTGGGCTGGCATTGATAGCAGTGTCTCTGTGATTCTGTGTGGATGTGTGTTTATGCGTGGTGATCGAGTCTTACCCCAGGTTGAGCCTCTCTGTGTCTCTAGGAAAGGTTTTTGGTATGGTGGTGAGGTGTCTGAACGTACAGTGGACCTCTTTAACGCCAGGACAGCTACAGGTCCGCGGGCAAGACGGGGCAGCATAGACAGGGGAGATCTACGCAGGGAGGAGTGGAGATGTGAAGGAAGAAGCAGCCGACAGGATGGGAGGAATATGTGAAAGAGGGGAGGAGGTCAGGGATAAAAGAGAGAGGGCGCAGAAAGAGAACTCGAAGGAGGTATGAGGAGGCAGTGAGCGAGGCAAATTCAGAAATTCAGAAAAGATGAGATAAAAGAAGGAGAAGCAAACAGATAAGTTCAGACCTGTGTAGTAACTGGCAGTTTGGAAAGAAATCAATACCAAGTGAAATAAATAGACTTGAGGCTATTATGAAACAGACCAGGTATATTAAAATCGTGCCATCCTGTGCCAAATTCCATCAAATTTACATTTGATTTATGCGTCGTAGAGCCAATACTTATCTTAAATTCAAGATTTTCTCAGAAAGGAGGAAATAAATACTTTATTCATAAATCAATCATAATGTTGTGTTTTCCCTCTATGTCAGCCTCATACCTTTAGCAAACTTAATAATGACTATGGCTTTTGACAGGAAACTGGGTGGTGTCCCAATGATTCAACATCTTCAGCACAACAACATTTTCACATTGTCTTCACAGACAGAAAAACTCCTGCTAATCCTGACTGTCACATTGTGAGTTTAATCAGACAAGCTTAGATGATTTAAGCAACTAATCACTGGCTACTGTAATAATTTGAGAGCTTCTGCAAGGAAGATTTACCGTTTGCCACAGAAGAGATGAGAAGAACAGGGGAAACCAAGCTGCAGCCAACCTGCAGAAGATCTTGGCGCACCACCACAGCGCCATGACTGGATGGCTGTCTGACCGCTCACGCCATTCATACACCTGGAGGAAGGGATGAAGTGAGTGGATGCACAGATGTATGTCAAAACAAGCTAAACATGAAAAACTGATAAAGATTTATCTAGAGCTGTTGTAGAGGATTGTTGATCCATGTTTACAGTAGATTAGAATGGTAGCAAGGTGTACCTTCCTATATCTCTTGCCCACTGCATAGTGCACCAGTCCCTGCAACTCTTAAAAGGCTACACAGTTTAAAGCATGTGAAGAATTATAATTTGGTTATTGTATTGATAAATTAATACCTCCATTATGTCCTTGGCACATTCATCTACTGACCACTAATTCTTGTAATTCTCTAGATCCTAGGCTTCATTATAGTAACTAAGCAAAATGTATACACCTGCAGGAACTGAATTTTTTTTGACCACTTGGGGGCAGCACAATCAAGCTGTGACCATAACACATACATATTATCTTATAAAGTTTATATGGAAAACTTATTTTATTAAAATTATACTTATTATACTTATTACTATTTACTTATTATTATTATACTTATTAAAATTATAGACATCCCAGAGATATGACACAACACCACCATTCATACGGTCTCTACTTTCGCTAGCTAATCGCTAACTTTGTCCGTCTGCTGTTTTGTGCTGGGCAGGTAGTCTTATTAAAAACAGCTGCTCGAGCTGTCCCAACACTGATGAGAATGTTAACACTAAGTCAAAACAGAAAGGATGTGGGTCGTGAAAGCAAAACAGTGAGCAAAAACAGGCTACAAATTGAACATAGAAAATTGCCATAGACCTGAGGGGAGTTGCAGAGTATCAATTACATGTAGTCATTTGATCCAATGTTAATATAAAAATATTGAAAAGAACAGCTTTATGGTAGACTTTTATCATGAACAAATTTATTTGAATAAAATGTATTTCTAAAAGCGTTAATAATGGTGGTTTGCGTTGGCTGGTTGTATGGGTCATTATTTAAACTGAAGCGTAGGAAAGTTGTTTGATGTTAATTCTCCTCTGTGACTCTGTGAGTCAACATCTTTACACAGCTGTTTACTTATACTTCTCAAAATAAGCCACATTCACAACCACAAGGCCTTAATGTACATCACAAGTATTCACTCGTTTTAATTTCTTTTTTTTTACTTCGGAGACCTAATGAGTCAGTGGAAATGCAACATCTTACTCAGATTTAGTTTTTAGCTTCGACGAGACATGATGAAAGAGAAAATTACCATAATGATTTGCAAAATGCACCTTATTAATAACCATTTTACACAAGTCCAAGCTGGCACACCCTCAAATGTTACATTAGATTAAGAAATTAAGAAAGAAAGAAAAGCCACCTGGTAGCATTTTATGGCCTGAGAGAGAAAGTTACAGCTGCTAGAGAAATCTCCACAACTGAGTAAGTTGACAACTGTAGCAGCTCACTTAATACCAAACTATTTGCCCTCAAGGTTGATCATAAGTGTTTATATCCTGGCTCCGCCTTTCCTAGGGGAACTCAGCGGAGTGTAAATCCTCTTTAATCCAACATAATCATGCTCAAAACTAGGAATATGTGTTTATTTGTAGACTCACAATAGACACATCATCTGTTGGCGTTGTGGATTAATGTCTCAAAGTCAAACTGTTAGCTCCAGCGAACACTGGAATAGAAAAGAATTCAATACAATTCAATACAATAGACAGTAGAGTGGAAAATAACCACTTAACACTGGCAATTGTGGTTTTCTACAGTGCCAGGTGGTTTGGCAGTCATTATGTTGGTTTAAATGTTAACATGCTCCTTTACATACCAATTACATACAACCACAATCACTGAAAAACACACTTACACACCCACATACACCAATCTGATGGTCGACAAACTCAGAAATGGGGGGACGAAGAAAAAGAGAAGTGTTCACAGGTAGAACCAAACAACACATATTTAAAGTCATTAGAGGCCAGTTTGAGGTTTCTGGTTTCCCCCTCTGTCTCTGTTGTTCTCTCTTCACAAGGAGGATAATTCACCTAACAGCTGTGTGTGTGTGCGTGTGCGTGCGTGTGTGTGTGTGTGTCTGTGTCGTGCATGTGACAGGAAGACAGGAGGAAAGTGTCCTTCAGCGACCTGAATCATGATGTGTTATCATTATTTCAGTTTTATAATCATGCTCTCTCTTGACTCTCTGTTACACACACAGTATGGACTTCCTGATCTGACAAACACATTAACCTCTGTAGAGGGCAGCCAGGCTCACTGATGGCTTCAGTGGTGACAGTTCAGATCAAATTAATAGTTTCCTACAGGAAGATTATCTTCATGTTTTAACACCTGACAGCTGGTGAGAAGTTTGACAAATGTAAGACATTCTCAATGTCAAGAATCCATGTCTCTTTACTACTAAGGTCCATAAGGTGGAGGCCACCGACTTGTTAGCTCTGTAATATAACACTTTCACCACTGTGATGAATGTGACTGAATCCTGTCCTACTCTGTTTTACATTATTGTCTGGTCACAACAAAAATCTACAGCCACGCTTGAGGCTGTACACTGCTTTGAGCTAAATGCAAAACATTAGCTTGTTAACATACTGATATCTAACAGGTTTGACGTGTTCACCGGCCTAGCATAGCATGTTAGCATACTAACATTTGCTAACCAGCACTTAACACAAAGTAGGCTATATCTGAGGATGATGGGAATATCATTTGCTTTACAGGTTTTAAGATTTTTAGTCTGAACCAAAGTGGAGAACTGACAGACTTGCATTCATTCCCATTAGCATGGCTACAAAATTGACAAAATAATCTTAATTTTATAATCTTAAAACTATCTCATGGTCTTGGTCAGCAGAGGACTGTGAGAAGCAGTTGAAATCTTTGGGGGGAAAAAGCTAATCATGGGACTTTAACATTGCATTAACTGATTAGAAGTGTTATAAACACAACACTGACATTAACTTTGAAGTTGATAGTGAGCTTGTTAGCAAATGGTTGCTGAACAGATATGGAGCAACATTAGCATTCATCTTGAGCCATCTTTCTGACGACATGACAAATGTAAATCTAGTATCACTCGCCATGTGGCTGTTTGAAAAAAATATCTGGCTCTTTAGCTGCTAGCTAAATGCTAGCTAGTAGCTAACCTGGGTGACTACGCAAATTTTCGCCCCTATTTCGCGATGTGCCGTCTTTAGAGCACATAAACAGACCTGTCACGCAAATAAGTTTTAAAACATACAATAGCCGACCATTGTATGAATCATGGAGACACCAACACGGGGATGAGATGCGACTTGTCAATTTTACCAGTCAGCACCTCAGCTAGCAGCTTACCTATTGAATCCATGAAGATATTGTCGTCTGTCGTTTGGTGCTGAGGAGGGAGTGGGTTTTTAGAGCTGTGCTCAAAATAGCCGCCTCCTCTGCTGCTATGAAAACTCAGAGACTGACCCAAAACAGGAAAGTTGCAGCCATAAAATCAAAACAATTAGCTGAAAGTAGCACAGAGTTAGGTGATAATTACCTGTGGGTTGGTCACCATGAGCAGCACCTTTCACAAACATGTAGTGTTTATTATAGCAAGTTAAGATTATTTTGTCAAAATACTATTTAGGCCACACGATCAGGAATGAAATCTCATGCTCTAATTATATACTGTTGATATGGCATGTGCATTGACAAAGACTAGGGTAATTATTTATGTATCCTAAGAGGGAAATCCTGATCTGTCCACAGGGAGGTCAAAGGTCAGGGTCAACTATAAAACAGAGGCTCTGGAGCTGTTTGAGATTCTTTGCTGTGGTCAAGGATATTCCAGCAGGAGAGACTCTTTGCAGCAAGAGCTTGTGGCCTCAGGTCTCTAATGACTTTTCCACCTTGTGGCTAAGATGATAAAAACTCATGCTAAACATTTTCAAAAGTCAGTATTTGACATTGGTCATATGATATACTATACTGATAAATGCCCAATATTGTCCATGTTAGTAACCATCCGTTCTATATTTTAAATGAAATGTTGAAAGGACACTGGGTGCAGTTTATTAGGTGCTACACACAGGTGTTCAGTGACCCTCACTCATAATACGACTCAGGTAAGACCTAAACCCGCTGCTGCAGCAGCCTCTACATTGGCTTTACAGAGCAATAAAGGTGTCCATTCAGTTTCAGCTTCAAGTATCAAGGGCTAGTATGATCACAGGTGAAATCTACTTCCCCACTCCTGCTGCCTCTCTCTGATGGCTTTACCAGCTCTCCTGTGTTAGCACACCGGAGACAGAGAGAGGACAGAAAGAGAAGAGACAGAAGAGAGGAGGCAAGGAGAGAAAGGAAAGGATAGGAAAGGAAAGGAAAGGAAAGGAAAGGAAAGGAAAGGATGATAAGAGGAGGGGATAACAAAAAAGAGAAAAAGAGAAGTGAAAACAGATGAGGAGATGAGAAAGGATTTTCCCGTACGATGAAATAACTTAGTACCCCTCCCAGACTCTCACCTGACAGAGATAAAGTGCTGTCCTTCCACCAAAAGAGCCAGAGCCCTACACTGTCCAACTTCCTGCTTATCAAAATCATATGTTCACTGGCACATAGTGGTTTTGTCTCAGTCCTGCCAAAATACATACATCATTCCTTTGTTTCTTTCTATATGGTTTTGCCTTCTTTCCATCTTTTAATCACTCACTTATTCTGTGCTTTTAAACATGATCTCTGAATGAACTACACAAAGAGCCAAAGTCATGCTGTCACAAACAGAAAAAATGTGGAAGCGAAATAGTTATATAATGAATGAAGCATGGGCAGAAACATGAAAAGCTAGTACACTGTACTTACTGTAGTAAAGAACATAGAAAGTTCAAAGGTTTGTATTTATTATTCGGTCTAAAATTAATTATGATAAAATCTATATGGTTTATGTGGAGGTTTAATTTGAGAAGAAGCCTATCACTGTCTCAAGTCAATATCAATTCAACGGTCAGCAAAATAAAAAATAAACAAACAAGTGGTACCTAGCCTTTAGTTTGGTTTCCATCCTTCCCTCCATACCACCTTTGATCTCTATCCCCAGAGGCCTACGATAGAGCTAAATTGCCATAGTGTCTTAAAGTTATTATAATTTCTAATAAACTCAGCAGCTCTGTATTTATTTTCTAGTCAATCATGAAACACTGTCAAAAGCTTTAAATGAAATAGGTAGCAGTTAGACTTTCAAAACAAATAGTTTTCAGGAGAGCTGAATGAGTTCTGTGTTTAAAATGGGCTGGCCTATGCAGAAAAGGCGGTAAGTATGTTATGCTAATGTTTAGTT